AGGATACACCTGAATCAAAATTCTCATGGGAGGAGACTGAGACTCTCTACTTACCAAGCATCTAGAGTTTGTTCATGATTAGGGTACTTGTGGACATTTTGCTAGCAGCATTGCATCATCTGAGATCATGTGAAAAATGTAAATGTTAGGGGCCTACTGAATTAAACCTTTGAGGTGGAGGCCTAGCAATCTGTGGCTTAACAAGCTTCTAGATGATTCTGATGTAGTCTAAATCTTGAATGCCACAGCACTAGCGTGTAGCAATGACAAAAGACAGCGTTCCAAAACTCAGCTGTACACTAGATGCCTGGATGGTTCTGATTTAATTGATCTAGAGTACAGCAAACATTTGACTGCCTTATTAAGGATGACAAAGCTGATTGATATAAGACATAACCTGCCATCCGTAACTCAATTCACAATTTTGTAGTTATCTAGCCTTGCCAGTTACTTATAAAGTGAGATTTGAGTGAAATAAATTTATGACATTAAAGTATCATTGTCTATTGAGATTCTGTATTAATTTGAATAATTAACACATTTGAATAATGGGATCTGCTATTAATGTTTTGAAAGCCACAGGTCTAAAGACTCAAGTCTAAACTCTAATCTTGGGTTCAAGATGCAAGTTTAGGCCCTCTCTTATGAATACTCCACAGCGGGTGTACTCTCTGACACATCACCTAGGAAAGGGAAAGAGCACCAAACTAAGGTCCCAGACACACTATATTCTAGTTTCAGACCTTTGGGACCTTTGTAATCACTAACTTCCATTCACTCATTACAAAGTGACAGACGAGATTGAAATGACCACTAAGGTTCTTTCTCTTAGTACTACAGCATTTCACATTCATTTCTCAACAAATTGAATCATCCCCTCCTTTCTGTTTCTCTAGGATAACTAACCTAAGGCACAGCCTGGGTTCTGATCATTCTTTAGATTTCTGTAGAATCCAGCATAAGCTTCTTTGGTCCCCTAAGCATCTTTTTATCTGTTCCATCTCCTACTGGGTAATAGGATCTTACCTATCTCTTTGTATCCCTAAATGCCCAGCATGTCCATGCTTTATTTTTTGGTGGGATTGGGGTTTGAACTTATGGCTTTGCACTCTACTGCTCGAGCCTCAACTCTATTTTGCTCTGGTTATTTTGGAGATGGAGGGTCTCACGAACTATTTGCCTGGGCTGGCCTCAAACTATGATCCTGCCAATCTCAGCCTCACAAGTAGCTAGAATTATACGTATGAGCCACTGGCACCTGGCTAAATGTTTTTGCAATTTTATTTCAGCAATAGCTACATTGAATGGTATTTTTTGTCTAATGTGCTTTCACTATTGTACCAAAGGTTCCAGCTCATATTCTATTCACCCTAAATATTTTCTTTGATGATTCTTTATCCCCTAGTTTCCAATGATTATTTCTCTAAGTATAGCTCTCTTCTGGCCTCTGCTGGTGTGACAGTAGACAATTCTTTGCTTAAGTGCATGATAGAGAACTCAAATTTAAGGGTAGTTTACTAAGGATCCATTCTAACAACATCAATTTAACAGAGAAAAACTTTGAGATGTCTCAAACTGTAAGGTGTGCTGGGAAAACACAGCTTAATGGTAGAATTTGAGATGTAATTAAAATGTTTATTTTAGAAGTGGCATTTCTCAAAATTACATTCATGCTTGTTATGTTAAGGTGCCAGGGACGATGGCATAAGATCCTCAGATGTGTCTTTAAAAGCTTGCTCTTTTGCAGAAAATGTTTCAAGTTTTTCCTGATTCTGACACTACACTTAGTTAGTATTGTGCCTGGTAAAGATAAAGCACTCGATAAATGTTTATCAAATAAATGAGTTAGTATTCTTTGGTTTATATAACACCACTATTTTGGTGAATTTGAATTAAAGACAATCTTAGAAAAAAAATATAACCACAAAAAAAAAATAGAGACAGTCTTGGAGGAATCTGTAGTCTTTCAAAGTGATTTAGAGGGTCTAAGAATGCCGCCTGCACTTTCAAATACATGAGCTAGCTGCAGTTAGACTGAGTTACTAACACATTGAGCCTTTCCAGTTGGACTTTGGTAGAAAATTTTCACTGCATAAGAGGTTTTACAGAATATTCTTGTTTCATTTGGTTTTTCTCTCAAAGTAACATGTCTTCTATATACATTTGGGTTCCCATGATTAACTCATTCAAACTGTTGCCATTGAAAACTTTAGGTTTCAAAAGGTTTAATCGAATACCTGTTTACCAAAGGCAGAAAAGTGTTACTCTAAGGGTAAGTGTTGACATACATGTAAGTTGTGCATGTTTCCAAGGTTTAAATTAGAGTTGTTCAACTTTAAAAAGACTTCAGGAAACCTGAATATAACTTTAACTAGTGAATGACATATATTTGTATGAAAATACTATAGAACATCTATACGATACAAATACTCTACAAAAGTATAAAGCATATATATATATATATATAGTTTGAGAATGCACTGTTGCTAACTTCCATTTGCCTTTAAATGCATCCATCTAACTCAAGAGGCTTTAAAAAGTGTCTAAAGCAATGCTAGGAATCTCTCTGTACAGCTATCCTTATCTCAACTAGCAAAAACTCTTTGTCTTTCTTATTGTTTATGTCTTCTCTTCAACAAAATTAGAGATAAAGGTAGAACAGGTTCTGCCTGGAAGCAAGGGGGGGTGGGGGGAGAGGATGGAGGCGGGGAGCACGGGGGGAATGACTCAAACAGTGTATGCACATGTGAATAAATGAATAAAAAATTGTTTTTAAAAAGTGTCTATTTCAGGTTGGGTGTGGTGGCTCACACTTGTAATACCAGCTAGGTAGAAGGTGGAGGTAGGAGGATCCTAGTCCAAGCTCAGCCCCGGGTATAAGCAAGAGATCCTATCTGAAAAATAAACTACAGCAAAAAAGAGCTGGAGGTGTGGCTCAAGTGGTAGAATGGTTACATATCAAGTACAAACCCCTGTACCACCAAAAAACAAAACAAAACAAAAAAAAGTGTCTACTTCATTACTCCATTTAAAGATCAGTACCAGATGAATAGGGGGTGCCACCTAAGTTCGTCCAACTTTACAAGGTGACTTAAGATAAAATGAAAAACACTATTTACAAATGGGTTAGGTAGCTGCCAAGCTATTGTCAAGTATCTACTCCACTATGCTTAGGATGCTTTTTAAATAGCAAAATCTATGTAACTGGAATTATATTTGCAGCAAGTAACTGTTGAAATTCAGGTATCCCAAACTCTTGGCCTGTACAGGCACTATACCATAGTGGATAAAAGTTCTGATTCTGGAAGGAGGCAGTCATGGGTTCTCGTTTCATTTCTACCAGGTAGTTGTAAGAGGTAGCCATGTGACAATCCTGGCCATTGAGAAGCAGGAGAAATTATTGGGTAGGACTTTCTGGAAAACTTTTTAAAGTAATAGCACATGCTATTTTTCTTTTCCTTTCTTCTTGCTTAGGACATGGACATGATTCAAGAGGTGGCCTAGCTATTTTACACTCACAAAGATGAATGCAACATATGAAGCATGGAAGAGTAGAAAGCTAGGAAAAACCTGGCTCCCTGAGGGCATTGTGGAGCTATACTAGCTGTGTTTTGACTGCTGACTTCTAAACTTTTTAAGGTGAGAAAAATTAAGCCAGTCATTTGTTGTTTAATCTCCTGTTTTGGGGAACAATTTCTTATAGCTTTATATAATTATTACGAGGTATATAAATTCACAGAATTATTTTAGGATTGAAAGAGAGAAAAAAATGTAGTTTATGTGAAGAGCATAACACTGTTCCTGGCAGATAGTAAGCGACTAATAAATGGTTGCTGTTAATTTGGGGACATCAGTTGAGTGCCAGTAGAGAACAAAACTTAAACACAGGACAAACAATTTGGGAAGGAAAGAAAAGTGCTCAATAGAAGTTATGATAGGGCGGTAAAAATTTCAGAATCACATTTAGTGTGAAATAATGTACATAAGTGGTCTGACCTCTAGTAGATACTCAATGTATGTAATCTCATTTTCCGAGCTTGTGAGAATAAACACTGATGTGATTTAATTATAGGAGAACCTTGATAAGCAAGGGAGACAAGCAAGACCAAGCAAGGAAATTTTAGCAACTCTGAGAAGTGAAGATTTTATCTGTAACTTATTTAGATTTTAGTGAGGATTTCTATTCAGTGTCTTCTGTATTCTTGCTTATATAATAACTGTCAAGATATGAACTAAAAGGAACACACAAAAAAGACACTGGTTAACAAATGCCACTAAAAAAGGTGACACCAATGTGGTCACTTAACTTAATGACTCATTCATTGGGACCTAGAGGAATAGAAAGTTGCTAAACAGAGAAATGTATTTTGAGGCCAGATTAGAAATTCATAACATTAGTTAATCCAGAGAAATATAACAACTGAACTTGAATAACTTGGGCAAAGAAGCACTGAACAAATTCAGCTTGAAAATTCTACCAGGAAAAAAAACCATGATGAAAAGAAAACATGCACAGAGCTGGAATATTATATCACCTCAGAGGATGATGCTAATGTATAGTATACTGATATTTGTGGTCACCTTGAAAGGCGTTTGCTACAAAGTAGTGCCTTTCAACAAAAGTCAGACCCTGGAGAGTTAAAAGGACTACTGAAATTTAACTGTTTTTTATCTCTTAAAGAAAAAAAAAAAAAAGACCTAAACGTCAGACACTAGTGTGACCTACAAAACAGCAACTGATTAAGAAAATGAAAATCTATAATGATTAACATGAAGTCAATGCTGAATATAAATACCATGGAAAAAATGAAGCACAAAGAAAAGATCTGTACAGAACAAATCACAGACTACCACTACTGTATTTTCAAAATTATAATTACCAAATAAAGTAAATAAACAACCCTTAAGTTAGAGTGCAAAATGAAAGCACCTGACTGTTTTAAAGCAAGAAAATACAACATAAACACATCCACATTTTAAATAGTTCTTTGTATGGTAGGTAAATGCCATTTAAAAACATTTTTAATAGAAAACTGATTTATAAATCAATTTACAGAAGATCAAAAAAATCAATGTTTAATACCAACTTTAACTATAAATAACTAACACAGGAGAAACTGTCTTCTGTCCTTCTGTTGTTGCTTCAACATCTATGTCTTCTGCTCCTTGCCTTTTGGAGAAAACATCACATTGTAAGGCTGCCGCCTTTTTGGACGAGGGCAAACATCAAGATCTTCCTTAATATAACCTTAAAAACAAATAATAAAATTAGAAGACTATATTTGCAACATACATTTCTTTCACATACACCTATTAAGTATTTATTTTATTTAATGCCTTCTAAATTTACATGGTTCTTCTGATTTTTAGCTGTGTGATGCTGATGAATGGTTTCACTACTTGGCCTCATTTATACTAACAAAAAAAGCAGCAAACATTTACCAAACGCTTTGTATACAGTATCTCAAATAACTTTCACACTCCTTTGAAGTAGCTTCTACTATACCTACTTCGCAGATGAGGTAATGGAGACCCAGAGAATTAAGTAACTCTCTCAAAGTTCACAAAGCTAGAAAGAACTGGAAGCCTGCCCAAGCTCTGTCTAATTCCACTATCAGAGCTCTCAGGCATTTTTCTATTTTGCTGCCAATGGGAACAAACTGCTAAACACAAACTCTACCATGATAAATTTCAAGTGCTTATCAAAAAAAGACTGTTTTTGTAGTAGCTACATTGGATGACATGCTGCTATATTCTTTACACCATTAAGATTCTCCCAAGGTGTCTCCAATTATGTCATTTTCAAGGGCCATACTAGGAGTACAAACACAGGTTCTGCTGTCTGATTCTATGTGATGACCAGGCAGAGACATCACGTCAAGGGGGACTTAATCTAAATTATTAAAGGGAAAAGTAGAGAAACACTTTCTGTCAGAGACTTTGCAATAAAGATATTGTTCATCTTACAAATATAGGCCTAATATGCAAAGGCTACAACTAATTAACTCTCATAAACCTAAAAGTCAAAATATAAATATTCTGAACATTATATTTTCTGGTAGTATTTCAGGAAACATACCACTTTCCATAAAACTCAGTGTACCCATAATTTTTAGTACTATGCTGCTGTGAATGATAATTCTAAGAATAAAAACCACAACTTGTAACCTTTATTAATAGCTTTAAAGCTGCATGCCTTCTCAAATTACATTAAATACAAGTGCCAAATCTGAAGGAGTCAGATGCATGTCAACAGTCTAACAAACATCCTTTTAAAATTAGATATGGTCTGTAAACATCTAGCATTTTGGATTAGTGAATTTTAAAATCCAATTTTATGCTCTTATTTTTTTAAAAATATAATTTTGCTGGTAACTTTTGTAAAGTCATTTTTTTAAAATTAAAAGTGATTTTGGTGATAGGATGAAATTGGTTTCTGAAATTTGAATGACCAAGCAGGCTAACATATACACGATCACCTTAAAGTGATTATAAACAATGCCTAACCCCAAGTAACAGAAGACTTGAAGATAAGTCTTTTATATTTAGCAAGGCATTTTTATGTCACAGAAGCAGACCCAACTTGCAGCAGCAGAAGATAAACAGAATCATGGAGAAAGGGTTAATCTTCAGATTTGAGCATAAACAAATATTTTAAAAATGAATTCTAAAATATTACAATCTCTATTCTTACCTCTTTCCACACAAGTTTGAGTGGAAGGAAAACCAACTTCCCAGAAATTCTCTGGTGTACTGGGTGGAATGTAGCGAAAACGGTGTCTTGAACAGGAAGCCAACTTCTTCTCTCTTTCTTCTGCTGGCAGATCTGCATAATACTAATAATAAGATTGGTAAGTTTTTTTCATTTAGGAATAATAAATGGAGTGTCATACTTATTGATTATAAACTGGAAGCTATAAAAATTATTTACTAAAAAATTCAGCATTCTCATGAAATAATACTCACTGCTAATATCAATAATTAATGTTTACAGACAGTATTATTAACAGTAATCAATGCTGGTATTGGTCTGTGATATGCTTGCCTCACAATGAGAGAAAAGGAACTTGATCACAATTTCAATTAACATACTACCTCCATCAATAAAGGCTTGCAATGAAAAAACAATGCCAGCTGAACTTTACAGTGGGCTGAGTGAAATGGGTAATTTATATACAAACTCATCTTTGCCAGACCAGTGGCAAAAATTCAGAAGTCTGCAGTTTTTTTTAAAATAAAAATTTAGATTTGAATGTTACAGGATTCATGACTTGCCCCTTTAACTTATATTTTTAACTATGATCATAGAGGACCTATGCAAACATATATAAAACCTGTATGCAAAAACTGTACAGGTCTTCAGGCTCTAAATGTCTCTAGATCTCAAGAAAACAAGACAGTACTTTATAGTTCAATAGAACACAGATGACAGGGGTCACTTAATTCAGCCAATTTCTTCATTTTACCTTTGAGAAGCTGAAAATCAAAGTGATAATTTACCACAGATACCACCTATTAAAAGTGACAGTCTTAAGACTAGGATTTAAGTGTGAAGTAAAGATTTTCAATACATTTAAATTTTACATAGATTAAAGGCTTTTAGAGAATCTGTGAAATATCTTTTTTTAGGTATCTTTTCATCATTTTCATTGCCTTAACTATAAGCTTCTGTTACCTTAGTCTGGGCTTTGGGATAGAATGACCTGAGAGAATGATGGTTAATGGAAAAAACATCATCACCAAATTATCTGAGCAACAACAAAAAGCTAGTACAGCTATAAAACAGCAAGTGTGTGGGAGAGTGGTAGAACATACAGAGAGAAGGTGGGGTGCCCAGTATGTTGTCTATGATAAGGACTTTTGATTTCTTTTTGTCTTTTGGTGATGCTAGGGATTGAACTGAGGATCTCACACTTGGTAGGCAAGCACTCTATACTAAGCTACTCTGTGGATTCTGATTCTTAGTAAGATGGGAAAATACTGAGAGGTTTTGGCTAGAGGACTGACATGATTTAATTTTTATTCTAAAAAGTAAAAAAGACCCTCCATTGTTGGGTTGAAAGCATATTCCGAACAGACAAGAATAAAAAGAAAAGGAGAATGGAAATGGGAATATAAGAAAACTCTGTGTGTTCTCAATTTTGCTGAAAACCTAAAAAAACTGCTCTAACAAGTAAAGTTATTAAGAAAAAAAGGGGGGTACTTTAACAGTCTAGACAGGATAAAACAGTGCCTTGCTCTGTGAAGTTGGTAATGTGGTGGTGGAGATAAGTGAATAGAAACAGGACATGTTTTGAAGGTAGAACTAACAGGACTTGCTGACAAATCAGATGTTGAGATGTGCAAAAAGAGTAGCAAATAACCACAAGATATTTTGTTTAAACAACTGTAAGAATGAACATACAGACTGAGTGGTGAAATTTGGAAATCAGATATAGAAACTGTATGTTTGCTTTGGGTTTTTAAAAGTTTTGTTTTGTATGTTTAATTTTGGACATGTGAAACTTAAGATCACTATCACATGTGGGTGTGTGCTACACATTCCACATCTGAAACAGTCTGTGGGATAAACTCAGGAACTGTAAGTATTCAGATAGCATTTAAGTATATGGAACCACACTTTCACTTCTGGTCATCACGTAGTAACAGCAAACAGATTCACTTGTCTACCTTAAACAACTATAAAAACTACATAAGATAAATGAAACTGATTTTCAATGACTGGGCAACAGTGCTGGAAATGATTACTGAGGAGGGATGCACATTAACAATGTTTGTGTCATCCCAAGAGCTGTCTTCTAACTAGCAGCATTAGTTTTTAGATCATAAAGAGTTATGGTTGCAACTTAAAACTAGAGATTTACTTATATAGATCATGTTCTTTAGCTAATGAATGATGATATATACAATTTGTGTTATAAAAACTCATCATATAAGTGGTTATTTGTAACGCCAATCTGTTTTCAAAACAGCAATTGCAATTTATATTACAACTGTGTTTAAGAGCATGTTTTCATAAAACGCTTACCTGCACTGCAATATATTCATACTTTCATATGTAATCCTAATATTCTTGGTTACTAAATTTTTTAATTTATAGTTGTTAAAAAGGAAATTAAAAGGGGGAAGTTAGTTGCTGAAGGCAGGCATCTAACAACTAATGGATAACACAAAAAATAACAAAAAAACCCCCACAAAAATGGTAACAAAGAATCTGTCTGGAATGATTTAGTACTGAGACAATTAGTACTAATTTAGTGTTTAAGGTAGCCAATGTACTAAAGTAAAAATATAAGTGTTCTAAGAATGAAGCAAAGCTTAGTCATATTTTGTTTAGAAAGGAGAATGAGAAAAAATATATAGGATTTACAACAGTACCAATTATTTAAAAAAATTGTAAATGTATCTAATTTCTACAGAATGCTAGTGAAAGGAAAGAAATGTTAAAGTTTCCTATTGAAATATCAAAGTTTTGGATGTGGCTGCAGTGAGGTCTGAGTTCAAACCCCAGTACTGATAAAAAAAAAAAGTTTTCCCCAAATAATACATGTATAGAAGCTTTTGCAAATAAATATAGAAAAGAAAAATGGTACAAATGTCCCAAACTGGACATAACAGCTAGGGTTTAGGCCTTGGGTTCACTTAAGCTAAGAGAAATTGGGGGATTTCATTTTTACCTATTTAGATCTCTCAGGTCATAGCCACTATACTCTTTAGATGTCCTGTTATCACTGGTTCAAACAAAGTTTCTGAATACAAATATGGCTTCCATCTGATTTTAAATCATGCATTTATGATCAAGAAAGCAATACTTAAAAAAAACCCCAAGTTTTATATTTAGTACTTACAATTTCACATTCCTTACATGTGTGTCCAAGCAATCTTCTTCTCTCTTCTTTTTTCCGAACCACCTCAATATGAGGAAAATTTTGTAAGGCAGTTTCTCTGAGGGAAAAAATGAATTTAAAATTAACCTATTCGCTATCACAAAGATCTTTTGTTTGAAATCTGAATTAAAAAAGGTGAAAACTCAGAAGAGAAATAATCCTAAGACTTATTCATTTTATTTGAGATGCTTATTCAGTATATTAGGAAAATAAATATTCCTTCTCAAATATTTATTAAATGGCTACTATATGCCAAGTGGCTTTTTTGTTTGTGGATTTTTTTGGTGGCACTGGGGATTGAACTCAGGCCCTGTGCTTGCTAGATAAGAGCTCTACCACTTGAGCCATACCCCCAGTCCCTTTGCTTTTAGTCTATTTTTTCAGATATGGTCTTGTGCTTTTGCCTGGAGTACTTACCCTATGTATGTATTGTGAAATAAAGTAAGTAGAGGAATTATGTTACTAGCCTTGAAAAGAGGGATTTTCAGTAGGTGGGACAGACAGAGGAAGGTACATAAAAACCCTATAGTAATATTGAATTTGAGTTGGCGCTATCAGTGTTATCAGTTATCTTAGAAAACCAAATCAAAACATAAAATTGTATACCTAACTCTGCCCATCTAAAAAGTCTAAAAACAATGATTAAGTGTAGTAATGAGCAACCCTAGTGGTCAGACTAGCCCTAATGTCATTTCTCCCTAAAAGAGCTAGGACTCCTTGACAAATGGCAGATTCCAGGCCTATTGCAGGAAAAGTACAAAACAGACTGTAACATCTCATATCTGAAACAAGGAAGCTATGAAAGATGACTAAGGTAATATCTGTTCAAAGAGGCTCGTAAGGGGCAAAGATGGGAAATCTGAGTACAGAAGTTCCTCCTTATCCACCTTTTTGCTTTCTGCTATTTCTTATTTGAGGTCAACGAATGTCCAAAAAACTTTAAATGAAAAATTCCAGAAATAAGTAACTTACGATTTTTAAATTCTGTGCTTCTGTGTAGCATAATCAAATCTTGCACTGTCCTGCTCCATCCTGCCATGGATGTGAATGATCCCTTTGTTTAGTGTATCTGCCCTGAATATGCTATCCACTAGTAGCTGTCTTGGGTATTAGATTGACCATAGTGGTATCACAGTGTTTGTGTTCAAGTAATCATTATTCTATACTATAATGCCCCCAAAGTGCAAGAATAGTGATGCTGGCAATTTTGATATGCCAGAAAAAAAGCTGTAAAATTTTTGCTTTAAAGTGAAAAGGCTAAATATCAGAGGTATGTATGAATAGGTAGAAAACATAGTATATATAGGGTTCAGTACTATCGGTGGTTCCACTGGGGGGCACTTACTGGGGGGTCTTGGAATGTATTCCCCATGGATAGGAGGATAATAACTGCAATAGAGTTAACTACATAAAATATCTTTAAATTCATGAGTCTATGGTGATACGTGAACAAAAAACTACCTGTTCACATTTGGGATGCTAGGGTACCATTTCATTTGAAAAGTTGTCACAACAAAATGATCAATTTTATCTATCAAAATCTCATAGGAATCAATAAAAATTTATCTTGAGCTGTTCTAAAATTTTCAACAGAAATAAAAACATAAAGAGTAACTTTACTTATAAACTAATTCACTTTGTAAGCATCATAAAAAAAAGCATAAAAATTTTTGGAATGAATTACTATGCTTTGAATTCATTTCAAGAACAAATAGTACACAACTGAAAGTTAACAGAATTTGAATATCTGTATAAAAGGCAGAAAATAGCATTATAGTTCAAAATCAAGATGCTAAAACTTAAGTTTTGTTGTTGTTGTTTGTGGTTACTGGGGTTTGAACTTATGGCCTGTGTTTGCCAGGCAGGTGCTCCTCCATTATCAGCTACTCCTTCAGTCCTTTTTCCTTTTGTTATTTTTTGAATTAGGGTCTTGCATTTATGCTCCCACTGGCCTGGACCTTGATCCTCCCATTTAAGCTTCCTGAGTAGCTTGGATGGACAGGTATGTACTACCACAGTCAACTTTTTATTGGTTGAAATGGGTCTTGTGAACATTTTGCTCAGGTTGGCCTCGAACTGTGATCCTCCCGATCTCTGCCTCCTGAATAGCTAGGATTACAGGTGTGAGCCACCTTGCCTGTCTTATTGTTGTTTCAAGGGTTTAAAAAAAATCCTCTGAAATCATTTTTAAGGATGACAACTTACAGTTCAGCACCTCAAGTCCTACATACTATGTTGAGTATACAATTTAATAAATTCTAAAAGTTCAAAATAAAATAGACTAAAAATATAATATTTGTTATAACAAAGCAGATAAACACTACTGTTTAATTTTGTTAAGTGTAAATTTTGTCATTTTTATTTCTGAGTCCTGTTTTGGTTATGATCATAAAGTAAATGATTCTGCTTCTTCTTTGTTTTTGTTTTTTGAGATAGTGTCTTGCCCTGTGGCCTGGTCTTGCTTTGTAGCCCAGTTTGGCCTCAAAGTTACTATGTAGCACAGGCTAACCTTGAACTTGCGATCCACCTGCCTCAGCCTCCCAGGTAGCTGGAATGTGCTACCACTTTGCTCTAGTTCTAAATGATTCTATTTTAATCAAAGTAGCAATTTAATCAATAGTTCAGAGATACTCTAACAAAGACAGCTCTGTTGTACTTCCAATTAATTGCTGATATTAATCAAGACCCACTTACCTCTCATTGTCTTGAAAATATGGCTCCACAAATGCTTTCTGTTTGACTTTATCTTGTTTATCACCATGTGCTAAAACCATAAACAAAACAAGCATAGCTCAAACTGAGTGTAGAATTTAATGAGAAATAATCAGCTTGTTTGGAAAAAAATACGGCATGTACTAAAACTAAAACCTCCCTTTTTGCTGAGTTTCACACTCCAGGCCCAGGGGCCTATTATTTGAATCTTTTATTACTACTTTTTAAATTCTTTTTCAGCTGCATAATGAAGAGTGCTGATTGTTTTACTCTAGAGTTACTGAACAGCTACAAGTCCTATCTCAGAAAGCAGTTTCCAGATATCGGTCATCATTTGGCAAGAAACAACAACAAAAATCAGCTTTTAGTATGTCCACTTACCCTCCTGTTGATTTTTATAATGTGTCTTTGGGTAGGTTGTGATTAAGTAATTTTATAAGAAAATTGATGACAAAATTTAAGAACTGGAGCTCAGAACCTGGGAACTGAAGTGTAAGGTTCTAGACTCAAATAGCCAACTGCTATCATCCATTTAAAGTATCAAAATTTACTGAACAATATGCTAAATTCTCAATATAAAACGTAGAACAAGACAAACAAGGTCTCATGTCCTCAAGGAGTGTACATAACAGTGAGGGAAACAGACAGTATGTAAGCAGAGAGTTAAACATTACACAAGAAGACTGTTAAGGCTTATCTGAGAAAAACACATGTAAGTGGTAACTGAATAAAAAAAGCCATGAGAAGAGGTGGGGAATGTTATAGATAAAGGTCTGGAGATTTAAAAAAGAGAGAGATTTGGTATGTTATAGAAACTAAGAGAAGGACAGTGTAGTTGAAATTTAGCAAAGAAAGAAAAGTGTTGGGGGAGATGAGGCTGGAGAGGTAAGCAGGCACCAGAAACAGGACTAGGAATCTAAGAGAAAGACCCTCAATTCTCTTTTATATGCAATGGGAAGTCACTGAAGATTTTTATTAAAAAGAATAAACTTTGAGTTATAATCTGCATATAAACTACATTGATTTTTAGTGTACTAATTTTGATAAATGCATGTTCCAATGCAGCTGCTATCTAAATAGATATAACATTTCCAACACCTTTGTTCTCATGTACATGAATGCTTGTCCCTCTTCTGCTCTCTCCTCACTCCCACAAACACTGATTTGATTTCTTTCACCAAATAGCTTAGTTGTTTTAGATCTACGTATCAAAAGATTTATTATACTTTGCTCTTCATCATTTGTATTTTTCTAGATCTACAGGTTGAAGATTTATCCATGTTGTTGATGACTTATTTATTTGTCTGTTGCTAGTATTTAGGTTTCTTTCAGTTTTAGAGGTATTACAAAGAGTGCTAGCATGAACATTTTAAACACATCTTTTTATGGGTATGTTTCCATTTTTTTTGGGAGGGGGAATATACCTAGGAGTCAAATTGCTAGGTGATAGGATAAGTGTATATGTAACTTTAAACAAAACTGACAAACCTCGATAAAGCTATTTAACAAGCCTACCAAACTGTTTCCCAAAGTAATAGTGACAATTTTATACTCTAACCATCAATGTATGGGAGTTCTAGTCGTTCCTCACCCTTTCCAATATTAGACTGTCTTTTTAACCCTCTCAGTGGGTGAGAAGTGGTACTCATTCCCTGATGCTCAATAATACTGAACATCTTTTCAGGTATTTATTTTTTCATTGAAGAAAATTTAAGCAAAAGATAATCCACTCTGCATTTAAAATAAGCCCTTCTTGACGTTCTGTAGAAAACAGACTGGAGAAAAGAAATAATTGATTAAAAAGAATACCAGTTAAGAAGCCTGCAATAGAATAGGTGAGATAGCAGTGGTTTAGACTAAGGTGGTGACTGCAAAGATGGAGAGAACTGAAATGATAAAAAATATATTTTGGGGATAGAATTACCAGGGTATTAGACTGAGTATGAAGAGATAAAAAATGAAGTCAAATATGATTCTCATATTTCTATCTTTAGCAACTGGGTAGATAGCTACTGGAGTTAATGAGACCTGCAAAGGCAAGGGGAAGATTAAAAACAATGTGCAGAAAAATAAAGATTTCTAATTTGACCATATCAAGTTCAACATGCTTAAGATATTATATAGGTAACCTGGATTCCACTGTTGGCTTCAGAAGAGCAAGGACTAGGCTGAGCATAATAAATATATAGAAGCATCTTCATTTGGCTTCCAGAACAGCAAATACTCTATTTCCCTACTCTCCTCACATACTCTTCTCAGTTTCCTTTGTTCTTTGTTTCTCTGATCTCTTAAAAGCTGTCATATCCCAGAGAGGTCAGAACCTGAAATGTTCCTCTATTTATTTTTAGTACCTTGGTAATTTCACTCAGTTTCACCGTTTTATGTACCAACTATTAAGCGTCAAAATTGTTCCTTACTCTGGATTGCTGGTCAAAATTCTACATACCAACTGCCTACTAAACAAATCCAATTGAATAGTTCTGATAAATATTTTATAGGTATGTAAGACTATAACATAAGGGGGAACAAGTTAAAGGTACAGGGTAACTCTTCATTAGCTTGAAATTATTTCAAAATTTTAAACACTGGAAAAGAAATTTATATATGAGACATGAAACTTTAATGTTAATATACCTTATCAGTCCTGTTAACTAGTTTGATCACTTAACTTACTGAATTCAGTGTAATGGAGAATCCATAACTAAGGAGAAGATAGCTTACTGCTTGGTTTCTTTGTGGTAGCTGACAAGTCCTCCTCTTCATCTGCCACCTGGGGAAAACTATCTGCCAAACAGGATTCATACTCTTCATGTGTTGTCCGATCAAACATATCTTCCAAGCTATCATTCATTTTTCTTTCTCCATCTATGTGACAAAAAAACTGGCTTACAGCAACAAGCAAGCTTTTTGCTTTCCACATAGCACAATGTTACTTGTAGTAACTGCAATAACATAACATAACATAATGAGTGGTTTTTCTGGGGGTGAGGGTACTGGAGTTTGAACTCAGGGCCTCACTCTGACATTTGAGTAACGCCTCTAGTCCTTTTGGTTTTGATTTTTCAGATAGAGTCTTGAACTTTTATCTGGCCTGCCTTGGATTGCGATCTTCCTACTTCTACTTCTAGCCTCCAAGATAAGAGGCACATGCCACCACACTCAGCTTGTTTTTCAAAACAGAATCTTGCTTACATTTTAGCCAATGCTAGCCTTCAACTGTGATCTTTCTCTTCTCTGTATATTCGGTCCATGTCCTGAGTGAGGTCTTTAAAGGCACTTGATAAAATGAGGTATTTTGTTTGTTTGTTTTGTTTTTTTGTGGCACTGGGGTGTGAACCATAGGTTTCAAACTCTGGGCTTCTTGCTAGGGAGACACTCTGTCACGCCTCCAAGCCCTAAAACATGATTCTTACATGTGGACTGCAGGCTTTACTTTAAAGAGTATTCTTTAACTGAAAAGATGTGTATAGTGAAGTACTTGTAGATGTACTTGTAGTACATGTGTAAAAGATGATTCTAAAAATGCTATAGTTGTATTATGGCAATGCTCAGTGAATGTAATTTGTTGACAAAATGTAAAGCATGTGATGAAGTGTTTAAAGGCAATTTTTAAAACAAAACTGTTACAATTTCATTTATGAAGAATGTTCTTTCAGGGAACAGACATGGAAAGCAAAAAAAAAAATTAAGTAGGGACATATTTGTGGATACATGTTAAAAATATGATTCTTTAATCAAAATTTTTACAATGTGGTTTAAGTCTTACAATTGGTATATGAGGCAAAAATAAACTCCCAAGTCCTGGTAATTAGTGTATAGTTAAAAAGACTTAATGTCATGACCTTAAATGTTCTGTGAAGAGACTGCTAGATTTCTTATTATCATAGAAACAAATGTCTTACAAATTTACTAAAGTTTTTCCTCTCTGAGCTCATGTACAACTCATAAAAACCAAAAGAAGTGTTATCAAAGAAAGTGAGAGGAATAGAAAATGTATCATAATAAATGATAAAAAAAAATGCTAAATTTAGGGCTGGTGGAGTGGTTCAAGTGGTAGAGTGCCTGCCTAGCAAGTGTGAGGCCCTGAGTTTAAACCCCAGTACTGAAAAAAAAAAAAAAGAAAAAAGAAAAAAGAAAAAGCTAAGTTTAAACAAAAAGTCTATAAATAGTGGACATTACAATTTCTATACTTTTTACTACATCCTTATTTTTCTAATAAGGCAGCAAATATATTCTTGAATCATGATTAACACTTGGTAGTTTAAAACTGATAGAAAGAATGAATTCAATGGCCTATTTTCTATATAAAAGACCTAAAATCATCTTTAGAGATTAACTACATTTCCCATTCTATAACCACATTTAAAAAAATACCAGAGCCTAAGGAAAATGAGAAGCAGTTTCAATTGTACATCAAAGGTAACAGATCCAAGCTAGCCAAGATTACACAGTATTAATACTTACCTTAGCTCCTAATCCAGAATGCTCTATCACTCTTTCTCCTGAACCTACCATCGGCTATCATATCCTATATTTACTTGTTTCTCCATTAGAAAGTAAGTCCTGTGAGGTACTTTTTTTCTGTTTACTCATTATCTCCAGTTCCTAGACTACTTCCAAGTACAGAATTTCTGCTTGAAACTGACTGAATGATTAAGCCTTTATTTATTTTTCTGCTGAGGGAAAAATTTACAAATAAAATGTAACTTCAATAAGCTAGATACTATACTACACATTTCCAAAGTTGATAATAAATCACAATGCTATCTTATTAGTTTTTGGCCTGATTTCTGATTGTGAAATAATCAGAACTACTTGAAGATAAGAGACTATACCCATTTGATCTATCTCATCACCTGGTAAGTCTAACACAGAGTAGGTCTAACAGAGTGGGAATACAGAAAACACTTTCTGAATTAAGATGTTAACAGTAATTAGGAGTTTCCATTGGTATGCTTCATTTTTAAGCAATTCTAAGCATGAAAAAGTTTTTTTTATAAGGCAGATTTCTTTGTTCTCTCCAAAATATGGCCTGTACAGTGACTCCTAATCCACATGCTGTTCTTATAATGTGATGTTGATAGCCATCTTCTTGATCATATGGTTTGTTATTCATTACTAAAGAATAAAGATTTATGGCAAAGACTTCTGAAATTTTCTCTCACTGTATTTAGGGCAGCAAGAGAGATGCTTGGTTCAAAAGGAGTCATGTAAGACTGACAGTTTCATATTCTGGCCTTGAGTAGGTAGGCTATGGAAAATTCAGCAGAAGATAGGAAGTATGCATAGAGCTGGAAAGTCTTCGGTTTCAAGCATGATTATGGAGAAATCCTTTTGCTTTAGCACGGCATCCCATATGGCAGGTCCTGACCTTCCACACATTAAGAGTGATACATGAAAAGTGATTGTTTCCATCTAACTACTCTCATGTCATATGCCCCAATAACTAAGAATGCTGCTAAGGTAGTGCTAACCAAAATCCTTCATTGTTCCTATACCTTTTGGAAAATCAAGGTTTTAGGCAAAGAATTAATAGATTCTCACTACAAAGACCTCTGATTTAACTAAATCCTCTTACCTGCAGAGGCAGAATATGGCAGATTAACTCAACATACACACTTAACATTCTTAGTGTAAATGTGAAAATCTTTTAGAAAAATCAAAATTCTACCACCAGACTTTTAAAACTATTTATGAAAATATGCCTAAACCTGGGATAACCAAACTTTTTTCTTTAAAGATCAGACAATAAATATTGTAGGCTCATGAAGCCATAGGTATCTGTACCAAGTACTCAATCCTGCCTTTGTATGGAGCAAGCAAACATAGGTGACACGTAAAATGAATGTGGAGGCTGTGCTCCAATAAAACATTATTTATAAAACTGGCTGCTGGCTGTAGTCTGCTGATCCCTGGAAGCAATTTTCTGAAATAAAATTATTTTGGCTAAAGATTGTTTTTTTTCTGAAATACTAAAACTGAGCTTTCCTAAAGAGAAACATGCTTATCATTACAATGGTACGACTATGAACTTTATTTCACATTTTGATTAAAGTAAAAAAACAAAACAAAGGAAATCTTACTTGGACTTTTTTCTCCTTTTTGCTCTTGTTTCTTCATTTTCAAAAGTATAGTTTCACTGACCAATGTACAGTCCATGTCTACTGTCTCTCCTCCTAATCTTGACTGACTGCCATCCTGAATAAATATTTTAAAAATCCAAAACTTTAACAATCATTCCTTTATGGCCTTGTATTTTACTTTATACCAAAAAAATTAATAAAATATACATCACATAAATTTTTACTATTTTTAAATATTGTTACATTTACTTTTATATCTGAAGAACAGAGACTTAGGTTTCATTGACACATTTTAGCTTCAATATATAAGACTAGGAAAAGGAGGACTAGCACCATAGAAAGGGAGGCTTATTTACCACTGAACTCATTTGAGCTTTCCCTTTCTTCTTCTCTAATCTGTCTCACTGTAATGAATATCAATGTACAATAAGAACAATTTCAATAATCAAACTTATTATACTGATAGATACATACTACTGTAACAATGGTTACTTTTGTTATTAAGTGCTACTAAGTGAAAGAAAGCTTCTCAAACCATACAGAATCTAAACACACGGCTAAAAAGTGCTTCTACTATGAATTTTAATTTAAAAAATACATGACAGTAAGTCTGCCTTACTTGTGGATGTATTACACATGGTTCTGACCAAATGCAGTTAAAATAAAACCTCAAAGGAAATTTCAAAAACAAAATCTTAAAATTCCTAAGTGTGCATTACACAACTCAGCTTGGATGATACACAGAAGCTCTTCGATCTGTGTCCGTTGTGTTTAAATCTTTGTGTGATCTGCTGAGTATTTCCTTGCTCTTAATTTTGTGGAAAAAATGTCTCCCAAAAAGTAAGGTAAAGGGAGATGTGCTTAGTTTAAGTGATAAAGTGGAAATTTTAGATTTGTTGAAAGGCACCATATCTTTAGTGGAAGCAGAGTGGCAGTATGGGAAAAATCATGGATCTGCAGAACAGCAGTGAACTGTGCACCCGGAACATTTGCAATTTCTCTTCAATGATGGTCTGCTTTGGATCATGTACCTGCAGATATCAAGGGTCTACTAAAGAAAAAAAAATGGCAAACTGGAAAAATGAAATGTTATTCTTGATGGCATGTTACTTTAAAGCAAACCAAGACATATGATGGAGCCAGGTGTGATGGTGTATGCCTATAATCCCAGCACTTGGGAGGTTGAGACAGGAGGATCATGAGTCTGAGGCCAGTCTGGGCTACCTAACAAGATCGTGTCTCAAAAAACCAAAGACATAGGATGGATTATTTTGACAAAAAATAATTTAAACTATGTAACTTGAATTTTCCATTATTTTAAAAACTATATTAATGTTTTTCAGCAATAGCCTTTAAAGTCAAAAAGCATTACTACCCTTTCAAAAATATAAAATTAGAAGGACATTTTTATTTCCTTGTTTTCTGAATAAACAAATGTAGGTTTTTAAGAAGTATCTGACTATCTCAAGGTCATAGAGTAAGTCAGGCTAATAAACTCACAAGAATAAGATCCAGATAAGGTTTCTTTGGCAGTACTAGGGTTTAAACTCTGGGCCTCATATTTACTACCACTTAAGTCACACTCCCAGACTTTCATTTTTTACTTTTTACTTGCTGTACTGGGTTACATTTACAAATGTTCTTACAACGTCATAGTTGAATTCAACCCTCCATCATTCTCTTTTATCCCCTCCCTCCATCGGCCTTCCTTTTTATTTTTCAGGTCATGGTCTTGTGTTTTTGACTGAGGCTGGCCTTAGACCGGAATCTTCCTACCTACAGCCTCTCACATAGCTGGAACCACAGGAGTGCCAATACTTGGCTTATTGACAGAGATGGAGGTCTCACTATCTTTTTGCCCAGGCTGACCTTAAACTGCAATCCTTCCCATCTCTGCCTCCCAAGTAGCTGAGATTACAGGTGAGAACCACCTGCCTGGTTTTATTTTCTAACTTACCTTTGTATCTATTACAGTAATATCCATTTTATACTGGGAAAGGTCTGCTCCTGGGTCTACACTCCACTGGATATTTTCAAAGGATGTATCTTAGACAAGAAGAAAAAAGTGAAAATTAAAACTTATTTTGAAAATTCTCTTCACTTTAAAACGTTAGGGGACCCATTTACATGTTTTGTAAATTACATGTCAGGTGAAGGATTTTTACCTGGATGAATAAAGAACTCTTATAAAACATAATTTAAGAAATAAATATCCCAATTAAAAATTGGTAAAGGATCTGAATAAACAGTTCAATGACCAAGAAGCGTAAGAAAAGATGCTTTATATGATTAGCCATCAGAAAAATGCAAACCACAAGAAAATACTACTTCACATTCACGAGAATGGCTAGAATCAAAGACAGATAACAAGTGTTAGTGAGAACCTGGAACCCATGCACAATGCTGGTGAGAATGTGAAATGGAATAGCAGCTTTGGAAAATAGTCCCTCAAAAGGTCAAACCAGGAATCAGCATATGATCCAACAATTTTACTGCTAGGTATAACCCAAGGAAAAAAATGAAAACATACATCTACACATAAACTTGTACATGAATGTTCATAGCAGAATTATGTATAATAGCAATAAGGTAGGAACAACTTAAAATTTGATCAACTGATGAAAATAGGTAAACATGATATATAATGAAATGTTGCTCAGCAATAAAAAGGTATTAAGTACTAATATATACTATAATATAGATAAAAATTGAAAGCATTGTGCCCAAGTGAAAGAAATAAGTGACCAGAATAGAACTGTAGAAGAGTTACATGTATAGAGACAAAAAGTAGATTAGTGGTACCTAGAACTGGGGAGGAGGAAAAAGGATGGAGGGTGATGAGTGTTCGAAATTTAGACTGTAGATATAGTTGTAGTTGTACTACTCTGAGTACACCAAAACTGTTGAACTGGACACTTTAATGGGTGTTTTTCATGGTATGTGATTTATATTACAATTAAAATGTTTTAGAAATTATAATATTATCTGGATTTTCAATGTACTATAAGTGGATACAATACATGGTAACTACATAAAGTGTAACTGCAGAACATGAAGTAATATAATACTAACTCCAAGTAGATTTTGAAAGGTTAAATAGGTATAAGCCCCAGAGGAAAAAATAAAAACAAAGAGCTAAAATTAAAAAATCAGGAAAGGGAGATTCCAAGATGAAGGCTAGAGGGAGGAAGCAGAAAGTGTGCCTCCTAAAGTAAAATCTTGGGGAGATGCTGGAGATACACCTTACAGGCAAAACCACCGAGAAGAGGCAAAACTCTGACCCCTCCACACCTCCAGCCTGCGCAGAGCATCTCCACTTCACGTTAAACGGAGAAACCAAGAGGGCCCCCGGGCCTCCGCCAGATGCTGGCACCCAGACGGCTTGGAAGATGTGGACCATGTGGGGTAAAGACCCACTTCCCACATGAGCTGTAAATAAACACGCTGACCTGAGAAAGCGGGTGCACTGTCACCTCCCCTAGTGTGCTTGGAAAGGGGAAAGCTTGCAGCAGCAGCTCGTGCATAGGAGAACTCTGAGTAAACAAAGCCTGTGGGAGACCAGGTGAGTGCTAAGCTCATCCCTGAGATCTGCATAAATAAAGCCACAGCAACAGCAGGCTGACAGCAGCGGGCAGGCAAGCCACAGACACAGACAGCCATTCATAGAACTGTCTGCAGACTCTTTTTTTTTTTCCTTTTCTCTCTCCCTACCTTTGATGAGACAACAACCAAACTATGCCTGCATGCTGAAAAACTTACTGAAACTGTATTGCATTTGAACTTGGGACACTTTGTGGGGTTTTTTTTGTTCTGTGCAGTTTTGTTTTATTTTATTTTTCCCCTTTGATGAGATAACTACAGAACAACAACTGAAGCACCATCTCCAGGATTGGAGGCTGAGGGACGAACACCAAAATTATTAATTATTTATTAATATTATTAATTATTATTAATTATTATTTTATTTTATTTTTATTTTTTATTTTCAGTCTTCTCTCTGTCTCTCTAATGCCTTTTCAGTTTACAGTTGATTAGTACACTGTCTCTCCCTGCTTATATCTTTGAAACTTTTTTTGTTTGTTTCTTTGTTTTTTTCCTACTTGTTTATTTGTTTTTCCCTTTTCCTTTAACTTCTTTGCTTTCCATCTCCTCTCACCCTTCCGTTCTAAATATCACCAGTGCTATTATTACAAGCCAGAAAATACTTAATTGAACACAGTACAGGGACAATAACAACACCAAGGGCAATGACAGGAAGACAGAAAAAACAGGGAAACCAGTTTCCCCACAGCAAAAAATTAGTACAGGAACAAGATGGAAATGAAGAAAACAGATACTCAGACCCAGACTCAACAAAATAAAGATAAACTATGCCAAAGAACCCAATGAAGCCCACAAGAATAATCTAAAAGAAGAAATCTTACAGGTAATCAATGAGAATTTTATAGAGATGATACTGGATATGGTCAACCAAAACATACAGGAGACACTCAAGAAATTCCAAGACAACAAAAATAGAGAATTTGAAAAAGAACAAGAAGAAATAAAGGAAACCATAGAAGCACTGTATAAACACCAAAGTGAAACAAAGAACATGATTAATAAAGAGATGAATGAACTCAGAACAAAAATAAACATTAAAGAGGAAACGACCCAGGATATGGAAAACCTCAGAAAAAAGAACGAAACAGAATTGCAAAACAAAATGGAGGGCCAATCCAGCAGAATAGATAAAAAGAAGACAGAATCTCAGAGCTCGAAGATGAAATGGTAATTAAAGGAAAAACCAAAGAACTATTAGTTAAACAGCTCAAGACCTGTGAAAACAAAATGCAAGAACTCACCGACTCCATCAAAAGACCAAACCTAAGAATCATGGGCATTAAAGAAGGAGAAGAGGTGCAAGCAAAGGGAATGCATAATATATTCAACAAAATAATAACAGAAAGTTTCCCAAATCTAGAGAAAGCTATTCCCATACAGTTGCAAGAGGCCTCCAGAACACCAGACAGACAGATCAAAATAGAACTACCCCACGACATATCATCATTAAAACAACAAGTTCAGAAACTAGGGAAAGAATATTGAAAGCTGTAAGAGAGAAAAAACAAATAACATACAAAGGTAAACCCATCAAAATCACAGCAGAATTCTCAACAGAAACATTAAAAGAAAGAAGAGCTTGGGGAGAGATCTTCCAGGCACTGAATGAAAATAACTTCAACCCCAGGATACTCTACCCAGCAAAACTATCATTCAACATAGATGGAGCAATAAAAGTCTTCCATGATAAGCAGAAACTAAAACAATATGTGAACACAAAGCCACCACTACAAAAGATTCTTCAAGGGATTCTGCACACAGAAAATAAAACCCAGCCTATCCATGAAAGGGCAGGCAGCACCAAACTACAGGAAAAGAAAAAGCAAGAAAGTAGAGAGTAACCTCAACTTAGGTACACACAATCAAACCTTCAAACAACTAAGATGACTAAATGGCAGGAATCACCACATACCTATCAGAACTAACACTTAATGTTAACTGACTTAATTCACCCATCAAAAGGCACCATTTGACGAAATGGATTAAAAAGGAAGATCCAACAATTTGTTGCTTACAGGAGACCCATCTCACTGACAGAAATAAGCACAGGCTTAGGATGAAAGGCTGGAAAAAGATTTACCAAGCCAATGGCCCCCGAAAACAGGCAGGAGTAGCAATACTTATCTCTGACAAAGTAGACTTCAAACCTACATTGATCAAACAAGATAAAGAAGGACATTCAATACTAATAAAAGGGGAAAGAGACCAAAAGGAAATAATATTAACCTATATGTACCTGTCAATTCACCCAATTTCATCAAACATACACTGAATGACAAAAAAGCATATATTAACTCCAACACAGTGGTTGTAGGAGACTTCAACACCCCATTATCATCAATAGATAGGTCATCCAAACAAAAAAATCAATAAAGAAATTCAAGATCTAAAATACACAATAGATCAAATGGACCTACTTGATGTCTACAGAACATTTCATCCAACTTCTACACAATATACATTCTTCTCAGCAGTCCACGGAATCTTCTCCTAAATAGACCATATCCTAGGGCACAAAGCAAGCCTCAGCAAATATAAGAAAATAGAAATTAGACTGTGCATACTATCTGATCACAATGCAATAAAACTAGAACTCAAGAACTAAAGTAAAGACAAAAGACATGCAAACAGCTGGAAACTGAATAACTCATTACTTAATGAACAATGGGTCATTGATGAAATAAAAGAGGAAATTAAAAAGTTCCTGGAAGTTAATGAAAATGAAAACACAACCTACTGGAACCTATGGGACACAGCAAAGGCAGTCCTGAGAGGAAAGTTTATAGCCATGAGTGCATATATTAAAAAGACTGAAAGATCCCAAATCAATGACCTAATGATACATCTCAAACTCCTAGAAAAACAAGAACAAGCAAATCCCAAAACAAATAGAAGGAGAGAAATAATAAAAATAAGAGCTGAAATCAATGAAATAGAAATAAAAAAAACCATACAAAGAATTAATGAAACAAAAAGCTGGTTCTTTGAAAAAATAAACATGGTCGATAGACCCCTGGCAAACCTGACTAAAATGAGGATAGAAAAAACCCAAATTAGTAGAATCAGGAAAGCAAAAGGGGAGATAACAACAAACACCATGGAAGTCCAGGAAACCATCAGCGACTACTTTGAGAACCTATATTCAAATAAATTCAGATAGCTTAAAGAAATGGACAGATTTCTAGATACTTATGATCATCCAAAACTGAACCAAGAGGACATTAATCACCTGGTTAGATCTATAACACAAAATGAAATTGAAGCAGCAATCAAGAGTCTCCCCAAAAAGAAAAGTCTAGGACCTGATGGATTCTCTGCTGAATTCTATCAGACCTTTAAAGAAGAACTAATACCAACCTTCCTTAAACCGTTCCACAAAATAGAAAGGGAAGGAAAACTGCCTAACACATTTTATGAAGCCACTGTTACACTTATCCCCCAAACCAGGCAAAGATACCTCCAAAAAAAGAGAACTATGGTCCAATCTCCTTAATGAACATTGATGCAAAAATCCTCAACAAAATAATGGCAAACCGAATTCAACAACACATCAAAAAGATCATTCACCATGATGAAGTAGGCTTCATCCCAGAAATGCAGGGGTGTTTCAACATACGAAAATCAATAAATGTAATAAACCACATTAACAGAAGCAAAGACAAAAACCACTTGATCATCTCAATAGATGCAGAAAAAGCCTTTGATAAGATCCAACACCATTTCATGATAAAAGCTCTAAGAAAACTAGGAATAGAAGGAAAGTACCTCAACATTATAAAAGCTATATATGACAAACCTACAGCCAGCATTATACTTAATGGAGAAAAACTGAAACCATTCCCTCTAAAACCAGGAACTAGACAAGGATGCCCACTATCTCCACTCCTATTCAACATAGTACTGGAATTCTTAGGAATTAGGCAAGAAGAAGGGATAAAAGGAATACAAATAGGTAAAGAAACTGTCAAAATATCCCTATTTGAAGACAACATGATCCTATACTTTAAAGATCCAAAAAGCTCTACTCAAAAGCTCCTAGACACCATCAACAGCTATAGCAAGGTAGCAGGATATAAAATCAACATAGAAAAATCATTAGCATTTCTATACACTAACAATGAACTGAAAAAGAATATATGAAAACAATTCCATTTACAATAGCCTCAAAAAAAAAATCAAATACCTAGGTATAAACCTAACAAAGGATATGAACGACCTCGACAATGAAAACTATAAACTTCTGAAGAGACTGAGGAAGACTATAGAAAGTGGAGAGATCTCCCATGCTCATGGATTGGTAGAATCAACATAGTAAAAATGTCTATACTACCAAAAGTAATCTACATGTTTAATGCAATTCCCATCAAAATTCCAATGACATTCATTAAAGAGATTGAAAAATCTACTGTTAAATTTATATGGAAACACAGGAAGCCACGAATAGCCAAGGGAATACTCAGTCAAAAGAACAATGCTGGAGGTATCACGACACCCGACCTCAAACTATATTACAAAGCAGTAACAATAAATTCTCTGGAATTAGTAGGTATTAGGTAAGAATTTTCTCAACGGAACCCCAGCAGCACAGCAACTAAGAGACAGCATAGATAAATGGGACTTCATGAAACGAAAAAGCTTCTGTTCAACAAAAGAAATGGTCTCTAAACTGAAGAGAACATCCACAGAGTGGGAGAAAATATTTGCCAGCTACACATAAGACAAAGGACTGATAACCAGAATATACAGGGAACTTAAAAAACTAAATTCTCCCAAAATAATGAACCAATAAAGAAATGGGCAAGTGAACTAAACAGAACTTTCTCAAAAGAAGAAATTCAAATGGTCAAAAAACACGAAAAAATGCTCACCATTTCTAGCAATAAAGGAAATGCAAATTAAAACCACACTAAGATTCCACCTCATCCCTGTCAGAATAGCCATCATTAGCAACACCACCACCAACAGGTGTTGGTGAGGATGGGGGGAAAAAGGAACCCTCTTATGCTGTTGGTGGGAATGTAAACTAGTACAACCACTCTGGAAAAAAATTTGGAGGCTACTTAAAAAGCTAAACATTGATCTACCATTTGATCCAGCAATACCACTCTTGGGGATATACCCAAAAGACTGTGACACAGGTTACTCCAGAGGTACCTGCACACCCATGTTTATTGCGGCACTATTCACAATAGCCAAGTTATGGAAACAGCCAAGATGCCCCACTACTGATGAATGGATCAAGAAAATGTGGTATCTATACACAATGGAATTTTATGCAGCCATAAAGAAGAAGGAAATGTTATCATTTGCTGGTAAATAGGTGGAATTGGAGAACATCATTCTGAGTGAGGTTAGCCTGACCCAAAAGACGAAAAATCGTATGTTCTCCCTCATATGGCGGTCATTAGATCAAGGCCAAACACAACAAGGAGATTGAACTCTGACCACATGATAAAAGCGAGAGCACACAAGGGAGGTGTGAGGATAGGTAAGACACCTAAAAGAATAGTTAGCATATGTTGCCCTCAATGCAGAGAAACTAAAGCAGATACCTTAAAAGCAACTGAGGCCAATAGGAGAAGGGGACCAGGAACTAGAGAAAAGGTTAGATCAAGAAGATTTAACCTAGAAGGTAACACACATGCACAGGAAATTAATGTGAGTCAACTCCCTGTATAGCTATCCTTATCTGCACTAACAAAAACCCTTGTTCCTTCCTATTATTGCTTATACTCTCTCTTCAACAAAATTAGAGATAAGGGCAAAATAGTTTCTGCAGGGTAGTAAGGGGGTTGGGGGGAGAGGGAGGGGGCGGGGTGGTGGTAAGGGAGGGGGTGGGGGCAGGGGGAAGAAATGACCCAAGCATTGTATGCACATATGAATAATTAAAAAAAAAAAAACAGGAAGGAAAGTTAAAAGTATTCAACAGACTAAAACCCTTGCTGCAAGAACTAAACAGTGTGCTTCAGGAAAAGAAAAGTGGGCCAGAATGAGGGAATAACTTGCCAGTGAAGAATAAAAAATACTGCGCATAAACAACAGAAATGTTTATTGACTGAAAAACAAAAGGACTCTTTCAAAAGACAGTAAAATTATGAAATATTTTTATACATACTAGGGTAAATAGTGTCTTCAAACAAGAAGTTAAAAAACCTATATAAATGTATATACGTATATGTTTACAGATAAAACGTGTAGATGCAAAGAAAAAGGATAGATTATCTACTAGGTGAGGAAGAAGGCTTGGATGAAAGTTCTCACTTTTATTTTTAAAAATTTTTTATAGTTTAAATGTTTTAAAGTAAAAATTAAGGAAAAAGGCTAAGGAAAAAAGATATTATTACCTAAAAGTCAATCTTCAAAATCACTTATAAAAGTAGGTATCAAAAGTATTTCATTTCTGCAAAAAGCACATGATCAAAAAAATCATAGGTAAAATGAAGACAATGAAAATTATCCTATAAACACAGGAATATGCAAGAAGATATGAGATTTGTTCCCTCAAAACATCTTGATCTATTCAAGAAATAATATCTAATTTAAAGACATTAAAAAAGTAGAAACCTTATTTATAGTGTACATACCTTTGTTGTTTTGTAGGGACTTTGTTTTAGCAATTCTACAGGGATTCAACTGAACAACTGATGCAAGTTCACATCCTCCATGAACTGACTTGGTTTTTACTTTTACTGGCTCATGAGGACCAGCACCCTAAACAGAAATAATTATTAACATCTAGATGAAATCATAAATAACGATTTTAATCAAAATCTTTGAACATAAGACAAACCTTCATGTCATCAAAAAGATTTTCTGCCTCCAAACTTTCATGGGGACATAAAGGGATTTTGAAGACAGGATTTTCTTCTTTAATTTGTAATGGTGTTTTATGGTCTGGAGAGGATTTTCTCAAGGACTGGATGATGCACTCCTGCAAACAGGGCTCCTCTGGGGAATCTCTGGGTAACATGCAGCTCCCACTCAAGGCCTTACGCCCTGAGGAAGAGCTCTTTGGAATGGGCTTCAAAGCCTCATAAATAGTCACTTGCTTAAATTTGTTTTTAGAGGTCTCACTTCCTTGGCTTTTCTCTTGACGCTGAATAGCTGAACACCGATCAGACAGATCCAGAGGTTTATCCATTACATGGTCCCCATTCATGGAAAACTGACTATTCATCGGAAAAGGAAAAGCATTTTCTTTATCAAAAGAGGCTTGAGGGAAGTTTACTTCATGTTCACTTTCTTCCTCAGTCTTCTTCCTTTTGGATATTCTGCCGCCTAGTGATTTCAGGGGCACCAAATGTTTATCAGTCACAGCCTCTTTAATATGATCAGTGTTATCCTGTTCACCTATGGATTCACTTACATTTTTATTTATAAGTATCTGCTTATTAGAAGATGATTGGCCAATGACCTTGTTCATTACAGACCCAAGGCTATGATGTGTTAAAAGGGCACTATCTTCAGACTTCGATCTAGTTTTCTCTGGTCTAGAAATAATGTTGCTAAAGGGGAATGTTTTCAGAAGGTTTTTTTTCCCAGTGTCTAAAAGAGAAGGGGACAAACTTGTATTCAAACCCAAACTGCTTTTCACATTAGAGGAAGCTCCAAATACAGGAGATGACACTCGAGTAGTCAATTCTTCTTGGGGAGGGGTCTTTGAAGTAGAATCTGAAAATCTAAACAAATAAAGAGTAATAAACTTTTCTCCTACTAAAGAAATAGGGTAAAAATTGAAGATTAAACATAGTAAGAAAATCTTTCCTGATACAGAGTAGTAAGAGCTAATCTACCTATTAAAGGAAGATGATAAAGCACAATTTAAGATAAGGCATAGCTGTCAGCTTCTCTTCATAAAAAGAGGAGAGAAATGAAACAGGAAACATGTCTTGATGCTATCATAGTCACACCCATGATTTATTTATTTTTTTAAGCTGAGGTTGTCCAAACTATCCTTGAACTCCTGGGCTCAAATGATCCTCCTGCTTTGACCTGCTAGGATGGTAGCTATAAAAATTTTACCTAAGTAATTAAAATAATTTCATTATATAAAAATTTAATAAATTCCACTGAGAACCCAAAGTCTTTTGTCATTATGAAATCTTATGAGTAATTCCAAGAAACAAAACTCTTATACTACAGAACCAAACATAAATGAAGGCCCAGACCATCTTTAGCAAAGGAGATAAGTGTAGAAAGAACACTGGGTTTATATTTAAAGACATGGGCTTAGTAATAGATCTGGACATAGCACTTAATTGCTAAATGACCTTAAACAAGATATTAAATTTCTCTAGAGCCATATTTTTGTCATTTGTTTAAAAAAATGATGACATTAAAATGTGATAAATATACCTAAAAAACTAAACAAGCAAAATGTTATCTCAACATAGGCATGATCAGTTAATGGCTGCTCTAAAATACGTAAAACTTGAGAAGCAACACAACCTTGGAAGTGCATCCAAGTCCATAGATGCATTTTGTACAATATCCAGTATTTGGAAATACAAACACAGAAGGGATGACTGGGTCTTCAAAGGGGTAGAGTAACAAGGCTTGAGAATTTACAAAAAGGATCTAAAAATAATATTTATCTATCATAATGCAAAAAAGCTCTCAACTGGTCATAAACTGGTGATCTTTATTTCCCCCCCTTCCTCCAGTGCAGGGGATGAAACCCCCAGCCTTATGGGGTCTATGGAGACACATTTTTTTAAAAATAGAAACATAGCCAGAATAATAAACTATATGCTGAAGGAGAAAAAGGGCTTAATTAAACGGTTTATATAATGGAATCTCACCAATAGCTTCTAAGCTTTCCCCAAAGCACTACAAATTACCTTAAAGCATCTTCAGTTTTTCTTGGAGATTCCTCAAAAGGCTGTTTCTTGTGATCTCCTTCCAGATAGTGGTGGAGCTCATTGCCAAGAGGGCTCATGGGAGGACCTTGAGGTTCCTTCAACAGTAAAATATGAAGCACACTTACACAGTGAAATGACTCACTTGATAAAATGTGGGTAAGTATGCTAAGTGAAAGTAGCCAAATTCAAAAGCCATACAATATATGATTTCCTTTACACGAAATATCCAGAATAGATAAAGCCATAAGGACAGAGAGCAGTCTGGTGGCTGCTAAGGGACTGCACAAACTGGGGAATGAAGATTGAATGTTTAAGGAGTATGGGGTTTTCTTTTAAGGTAACTATAAATAGTTGCTAACACTTTGCAACTGACAGAAGTGGTAGTTATATTGTGAATGTACAAAATGCCTTCAATTGTACACTTTAAAATGATTTATGTTGTATGAATTTCATCACAATAAGTAAATATAAAGCACATTAAGTTTAAAGAGAGAAAATCACCAATATTTTAATACTTTATATAAGTATATTCTACTATTACATAAAACTGCAGTTCCAAAAGGCATTATTAATATGAAGAGAATACAGATGAATTTAAAAGGATCCTTGAGAGTAGTGCTTCTTAAAATTTAATGTGCATGCATGTCAATTGGGAATCTTATTTAAAATGCAAGTTCAGTAGGTCTGAGATTCTGTACCTCTAACAAACTCAAAAGTGATGTCGATACTGTTGCCTGTGGATCACACTTTGAATCTTTAGATATCAGATCCCTTAATATATTTGGTGTCTAAACTACTGATTTGCCAAGTTTATGAGTAAGAGGGAATTAGAAACTATAAAACACATTTAAAGTTCAAAGGTTAAAAACTACCCACTATGACTTGAGGATGGATTTTAAAAGAAGAAAAATCCTAATGTAATAAGAAACCAGCCCAATTTCTAGAAATTCAGCAGTAAGACAAATTTATTAGAGCATGTATACATTTATAGCAAAAATAAAGGAGCACTATTTTGAAGTGCCAAAACAGAACTTAAAATTGAAGAATTCAGGTTTTCTATTTTCAAGAGATCAATTAAGGGAAGAAAAAAAGTTCTTTGGTCCCAAGAATTCAGCCTGTTTTCTAAATTAAACCCAGTTTAAAGAATGTCAGAAAGACCTAATAAATTCTGAAACTAATCTAAAGATTTAGGTCTTTTTTTATGTAGAATGAAGGTGGTGGGTGTGGGAGCAGGAGAGAAGGTAGACATCAAAGAGAGTTGACAAAATAAATCCTCTATGGCATCACTATTCCCCTAAATTTTGACTCAATCTGTATCCCAAGAATTCTAATGATTAGATTTCTGGGACTTCCTGGGGTAGATAATACAAATGGGCCTTTCTAAGAACATTAATTTTATTCTAGTCCTTTATCCAGTGACCTCTGGATAAAATAATTTTTGTCTAGTTTAATTCTCTAAAAACAATCTAAGCAGACACGTCAATTAATTCAAATTACTATAAAAACAAAAAAAGTACTTACAGATTCTTCTTGAACACTGAGTCCAACTGTTTCAGCAACAACTGTAGCTAAATTAAAAGATGACTGATCAGTGGAGTAACTGCTTGTTCTGTGTGTTTCTAAGTAAGAAAAAAAAAACCAATTATATAATTATAGAAACCAGATATATAAAAACTGCAAAAAAAAAAAAAAAAAGAGAAAAAGGAAAAGAAAAAGCAAAGAAAACACTATAAGATAGCACTGGACAAATTTTTAAATTCTGTTCAGGAAGCTCAAAATATCTACCACAAGTAGCAATACATTACAGATATTTAGCATCCATCCACACTTGCTAAGCTTTTTCATCCAAGTTTTCTATTCTGTTTCCTAAATAATTCAGTAACACAATAGGCAGATTTTTCTTACTGACACTAGAAAAACATAAAATGGATTTGTAATGATTATAATCTAAGGTATAGGATGAATATTAAACCATATTTATACTATCATTTTAGCACTGCATAATTTTCAAGTTTTAAGCTAACATATCTATACAGGAATCATGTATGTGATTTTATAAAGTTTTGTGCATGTAGCTTCTACAATTCAACAAGTATTTATGGAGCACCTACTATGTTTCAGGCACTGTGCTAAGCACTAGATGGAAAGACACATTTCTTGTTCTCAAGAAGCTTATGGACTATATATAGTTAAAGGTAAAAAGAATTTGCAATAGAATGTGATAAACAAAAAGGTACATAAAAACAGTGAATTATACACAGAAGGACTTCTAAATCTGCCTTGGGAAATCAAGGCAAACTACACAAGTGATGTTGTCCCTTAAGAGAAAGTGGAGTGTGGCCTTTAACTAGATTGGGGGCAGAAAGTAAGATTCTAGGTATGTTTAAGGGTCCAAATATAGGAAACAAATTGCTTATTCAGAGCTGGAGGCATGGGTCAAGAATAGAGCATCTGCCTAGCAAGCGTGAAGCCCTAAGTTCAAACTCCAATACTGCTTAAAAATAAATAAATAAAAGCTTATTCAGGGAACTACATGTAGTTTAATTGGAAGAAGTCAAATCACAGAAGATGGAAGTAGTAGCAGGATATAAGTCCAGATATGTCAGATTTTGCTAAGGAATTTACAGTTTCTCCTGTGGACAATGAAGAAATACCCAAGAGTTTTAAATAGAACACAGGTGCAATACTTGGGTGAAAAAAGATAATTCTGGCAGCAACAGGTTCAGGGGTAAGAAGCAATCACAAGCAGGCCTACTTCGATTATTAAAGCATTCTTTTTCTTTTTTTTTTTTTTTGATGGTATGGGGTTTGAACTCAGGACCTCATGCTTTCTAGGCAGGTACTCTACCACATGAGCCATTCTACCAGCCCTAGTAAAGCATTCTTGATGTGAGATGCTGATGGCTAAAGCTAGTTAAGTAACTAGTTACATGTAAAACAGATATGTACGAGGTGGAATCATTAAGACTTAGAAGCTGTTTAGAAACAAGACATAATAGTCTATTTAGAGTGACTCAAAGCTCTTTGCTTTGGGTAACATAAAAAGGTATGTAGAGTGTCATTGATGGAAATTGTAAATACAAGGATGAGATGTCAATTTGACCAAAAAAAAGCTGAAGATGAAGGATATTCGGGTAGATACTCAACAGCAGGCAGAGACTGGTTGGAATCCAGGAGAAAAGTCTTAGACAGAGATACAGATTTGGGATTTATTAGCATAAATCTTCACTGAGATCCTCAACAGAAAGAGAGAAAAAGTAAGACAAGAACAGGCTCAGCAATGCTGCAGGTATCACAACACCTGACTTCAAACTATATTACAAAGCAATAGCAATAAAAACAGCATTGTACTGGCACAAAAACAGATATGAAGACCAGTGGAACAGAATAGAGGACCCAGATATGAATCCACACAGCTATGCCCACCTTATTTTTGACAAAGGCGCCAAAAACATACGATGGAGAAGACAGCCTCTTCAACAAATGTTGCTGGGAAAAGTGGTTATCTGCCTGCAGAATACTGAAACTAGATTCATGTTTATCACTCTGTACTAGTATCAACTCAAAATGGGCCTTAAGATCAGACCCGAAACTCTAAAGTTGGTACAGGAAAGAGCAGGAAACACTCTGGAAATAATAAGTATAGTCAAGGACTTCCTCAATAGAACCCCAGCAGCTCAGCAACTAAGAGAAAGGATGGACAAATGGGACTTCATAAAATTAAAAAGCTTCTGCACAACAAAAGAAATGGTCTCTAAACTGAAGAGACCACCCACAGAGTGGGAGAAAATCTTTGGTAGCTATACATCAGACAAAGGACTGATAACCAGAATATACAGGGAGCTCAAAAAACAAAACTCACCCAAAATCAATGAACCAATAAAGAAATGGGCAATTGAACTAAATAGAACTTTTTCAAAAGAAGAAATTCAAATGACCAAAAAACACATGAAGAAATGCTCACCATCTCTAGCCATAAAGGAAATGCAAATCAAAACCACACTAAAGTTCCATCTCACCCGTTAGAATAGCTATAATCAAAAACACCACCAACAACAGGTGTTGGTGAGGATGTGGAGGAAAAAGGAACCCTGTACACTGCTGGTGGGAATGCAAGCTAGTGCAACCACTCTGGAAAACAATATGGAGGCTTCTTAAAAATCTAAACATAGATCTGCCATATGATCCAGCAAACCCATTCCTGGGGATATACCCAAAGGAATGCGACTCATGTGACTCCGGAGGCACCTGCACACCCATGTTTATTGCAGCACTATTCACAATAGCTAAGTTATGGAAACAGCCAAGATGGCCCACTACTGACAAATGGATTAAGAAAATGTGGTATTTATACACAAAGGAATTTTACTCAGCCATGAAGAAGAATGAAATCTTATCATTTGCAAGTAAATGGATGGAACTGGAGAACATCATCTTGAGCGAGGTTAGCCAGGCTCAGAAGACCAAAAATCGTATGTTCTCCCTCATATGTGGACTTTAGATCTAGGGCAAATACAGTAGTGTTTCTGGACTTGGTCACATGCTAAGAAGAGAGCATACACAGGAGGAATGGGGACAGGCAGGAAACCCAAAACTTGAAAGTGTTTGATGTCCCCACTACAGAGGAGCTAATACAGTAACCTTAAATCGACAATGGTCAATATGGGAAGGTGACCAGAAGTAGTGAAGAGGTTTGGTAGAGATGAATCAATTCGGGTTGTGATACACTTGTGCATGGAAGCAATTCTAGGAATGTCTCTGTATAGCTATCCTTATCTCAACTAGCAAAAATGCTATGCCTTTCTTATTATTGGAAACAAAACTGGAGAAAAAATCCTGGAAGCAAGGGGGGTGGGGGGGAGAGGGTAGGATTGGGGAGGTAGGGGGGAGAAATTGCCCAAACAATGAATGCATATATGAATAAATGAATAAAGAAAAAAAAAGTTTAATAGTTCAGGGAAGCAATAACCGTCTTTGGTTATCAACTCCAAAACCAGGACATCTAGCAGAATTCTTGCCCAGCCCAACTGAGGATAACAACCCTTTGCTTTTAATAGAAATTTTTATTGTATTAAGCAAAGTCCATGAAGCAAGTATTGGAAGCAAGTGTGAGACTGAAAAAAAAAAAAAAAGAACAGGCTCAGGACCAAATGACCAATGTTGCAACATCGACAACTTTTGCCAGAAGCAATGTGTGAGAGACAGAGACAGGACATATGAGTGTGTTTCCTTTTCCTCTGCTCTTCCTCCCCTCTCCTTCCTTTCCTTCCCCTGTCAAGAGGGGCAGGATAAGTAGAGGCAATACTGTAGTGGGTTGGAGTGAACGGGCATTAAGAAAGCAGAGATAATGAATATAGGCCATTTTTTCAACTTTGAAGAGAAGCCGTAGCTAAGGGTGGAGGCAATTAATTTTTTTAAGTGGAGGTTAATATATATGTATATGTATATGTATATGTTGAAAAGAAAGGATCGGCAGAGAGGCTGGTTGTAAAATATAAGAAAGCTGGATATAAAATATAAGACATTCCAGTGGTGAAGGTCTGCTTAGCAAACATGAGGTCCTGAGTTTAAACTCCAGTGCTGCCAAAATAAAACAAAACAGAGGACAAGCTAGGGATGTAGTCAGTGGTACAGCCCTTGCCTAGCATGTGCAATGCTGTGTTCAATCCCTAGCAATGTAAAAACAGAAACAAAAACAAAGAAGGTAAATGATGAAGAAAAGTCCTCATGGCAGAAGAGAATGGGCTTGGAGCACTGAGCAGCAACAATCCACCATGCTCTATGTTCTATCCCCAGCACCCTGTACTGGACACAGTCTGCCTATATACGTGTACACATTCTAATACAAGATGATCTGTAGCTTTCAAAATACCAGTCTTGTACTAATTTAACATGAATAAGGGATCTTTGCCTTAGTCAGCTCTTCCAATTAGGCTCTAGATCCCATTTCCTCTAACCTTTTCAAGGACTTAGCAATTGTTTCCTCTTCCTCCAGCAATACTAATCTTTCCCTTTACTTGATAATCTCATCATCATAAAAATGCACTGAACATGCTATAATATAGCCCATCCAGGAAAAAACAAAATAAAACAAAAAAATGTCCCTTATTTCCTTTTGCTAGTCACAGTCACATTCTCTCCTCTTTTCTGTAAAATATCCTGGAAGACTCATTTATACCTATGTTTTCCACTTTCTCTGCCTCAACTTCTCTCAGATGGTAACAGTCACATGTAAAGAGTTTTTATCTGCTACTAATTTAACCCCCATGCAACCAAATTTAATGTTGTATATAAAGTACAATAACATATATAGTTCATAAACAGAGCATTATCTGCAGTATTAAAATCCCATAGGGAAATGTGACTGGGGAAAAATGTGTAAAAAGGCTCCTGTGGGAGAAGAAAGGGGACAATGAGAAGAGTGTTCAGAATCACTCCTTTACGTAATGGAGGTCCCCAGGCCACAGTAATTGAACTTCTCTCCCTCACTTACCAGGTAATCTCTCATCCAGTCTCACAGTTTTGGATAATACGCTGACACCTTCCACATGTAGCTCCACCCCAAACTTCTCTCTTCTAAACTCAAACTCACATCCGACACCCCCACCTAAAATCTGAGTATTTATTCTGGATTTCATACAGAATATTCTCAAAACCAAACTCTTGACTTTTAGCCTTCCCCACCCCTCCCCCTGCAAATCTGCTGCTGCTAGTCTCTTTCATCTCAGTAAATACCAACTCTAGTCTTCCTATTGCCCAAAGCACTCCCCCAACGCCTTCATTTACTCTGCTTTTAGATATTCAGTCTTCCCTAATGGTCCTCAAACAAACCAACCGACACTTTGCTGTGTATGATATTCTCCCAGATCTCCACATGCTCCCTCACACTGCTCAAGTATCACTTTATGGGGGAGACTTTATAATACCCCTCTCACTCTGCTTCATTTCTCTTCAGAGCCCTTGCCTCTGCCTGACATGTATTCATTTTCATACTCCCTCTAGTAGATAATAAATTGCACAAGGGCAAAAACTTTCTTGGGGTCCGTACCTGTTATCTAGTATTCACTTAGATATTTGTTAAATGAATGAATAAACCATGGTAAAGCCTTCCTTACATAAATCATTAGCAATTTATATTATTATGGGTATTATTAATATGAATGAATACTAGGATCACATTACTTTCTATATGAAAAGACTTCTAAACAAAATTATATAAAAATATCTTTAAAATACTGTCTAATTCTGACTATTGTTCCTTCCTACCAATAACTACAGATTTGAAACATATAATCTCAGTATCTTACTTACTAGTCAGTGGAGAATGACTTTGATCACAAGTGTCAGCTACTAGAATTTCATTCTCCTTAGGGTTGTGCTGTAGATGAGCTGAAGCCGTGGAAACTTTTCTTAATTCTAAGAGGAAAAAAAGCAGAGATACCATAATAAAAACAAGGGAAAATACTATTCTGATAATTCAATGCAAACTTACCTTTACATGTACTTACGAATACTTTTATTGACATAATTCTCATATTTTAAAAAGGTTCTTTAGTTTCATTAAGAAACAAAGCTGCAAGCTAGAACAGTAGAAGAAGAGAGAACTAGAACAATTTTCTTCTGACCTAAGTTGCTAAAGGAGTAACATTTTAATGCTTCTTTTCCTTGTTTATCTTACAAGGAGAGCAGGTTTATTTAACATGCATTCTGTATCACATATCCCCACAATCTTTTAGAATTATTTTTGGAAGGAAACCATGAAACATGCTTTAAGGATGTTTAAAGTTACTTTAAGAAGTAAACATGCTTTATGTCTACTTTGTAAGGTTTTAATTCAAACCAAAAGGACAAACTAAAGGAAAATAGAGCTTTACTTTTAATTATAACTTGAAAACAGTATTAAAAAAACACTACAAACTTTAAGATAAATAAGCAAACATGGTTAGAAAGAAAATAAGACTAGCTAGTAATTAAATCATTTATTTGCATGGCTCAAAAGTTATCTTATATCTTCAAATCAAAATTTCATATTCCAAGTAAAAAAATGATCAAAACAAGATTAAAACAAATTTATTTTCAAGTAGTGATTATGCTGTTCTCATACAATGAAGAAAGAAAACAGAAGCATTTATGCTAGATATAAGAGAAGACTTTCCTAATAAAGAAAATTGCTGTGATTTCTGGATATTTATGTATGGATTTAAACATGATCTATATTATACAGATGATTATCTATACTGAGTCATGTCATGTCTGATAGCAGGCTAACAGGCAAATGAATGTTCATTTGAGATCTTAAATCTTACATTTTAAGAAGCATGATTTTTAACAGTTCTTTTGATTTCCACTAGATGGTGATGTAAAGTCATTTAAAAAGGGGGTAAAAACTACCAATTTTCCAATTTCAAAGAATAAAGATCTACTTTTTGTTTTAAAAGCATAGCTACTGCCAACAATATATCCCACTATACAGCTATCTCTAGAACTTTGCATACCTCCAAACGTTTCCTAGTTTCGAACAGTTTAAAGTATTTACCACTTACTTTAGATTAACATTAAAAAGAACAATCACTGTATCATGTCATGTGCTAAATTTCAGGGCTATATAAAAAAGATATGTACTCACTGACAATTTACAAAATATATACTGTAAACCCATTTCCCTTCCTCCCTTCCTTCCTTTCTTTTTTTGATGTACTGAGGCTTGAACTCAGGGTCTCACGCTTTCTAGGCAGGCACTCTACCACTCGAGCCGGTTCACCAGCCCTAAATCCATTTCTTGAGTACCAGTAATTACTACAAATTATAAAACAAAAATAACCAGTTAAAGACAGCTCCAATGGCAGGAGCACCTGTGCGTAAGCCCTGGAAAGTATGACAATTTAGAGCCAGGAAGATGTGTATTTAAATTTTGGCTTATTTATCTGCTTGACTGTCAACCTTGGGAGAGTTTTTAACCTCTCTAAACATAACTCTCCTCATCTATAAAACGAGCTAATAGCTACCAAATGAGCCTGTTAAGAGGATTAAAATATAATAATAATATTATATGAAAATCACTCAGTATGTTAATATCTGTAACACAGGAGGTAGAAATTTATGTTAAATTCTCTTCTCTTTCCTGTCATCCCATTCCGATATACATGAAAGAATATATATATATTTTTGGTGGTACTGGGGATTGCACTCTGAGTCTCCCATTTGCTATGGAGGCACTCTACCACTTCAGCCATGCCCGGAGTCCTTTATGAGTTGGTTATTTTTAAGACAGGGTCTTGCTTTGTTGCCTCAAACCCAATCTTCTATTTGTGCTTCCCTGCACAGCTGGGATGATGGGAGCGTGCCACTTCACCCAGCCACTGGTTGAGATAAGGCCTGGAGAACATCTTGCCCAGCCTGGCCTCAAACTACAATCCTCCTGATCTCTGCCTCCCAAGTGCTAGGATTATAAACTTGAGCCACTGCACCAAGCCCACAAAAGAATATTTTTAAAAGGAAAAGAAAAAAGAAGCCAGATGTTGTGGCACATGCCTGTAATCCTAGCATTGGGAGACAAAGGCAGAAGGATGGTGGGTTCAAGGCCAGCCTGAGCTAGTGAGACCCTGTCTTAAAAATAAAAAAACAGCAATAAAAAAATAATAATAATAATGAAAAATAGTGGGCACAGTGGCTCACACTAATTCTAGCTACTTGAGAGACAAAGATTGGGAGAATAACAGACTGCAAGATCCCATCTCAACCTATAAAAGCTGGCAAGAACCTGTCAATCCAATTATGCAGGAGGCATAAAATAGGAGAATTGTGATCCAGGTTGGCCCAGGCATAAATGTGAGATCCTATTCCAAAAATACCTATAGCAAAAAGGGCTAGGGGTATGGCTCAAGTAGTACTGCCTGGGAAGTATAAAGCCCTGAATTCAAACTCTAGTGCTGTCCCCCCAAAAAAACCCAAAGTGAAACAAAATAAAAACTATTTATTATATTTATAAAATGATGAGTACATATAGATTCACATGAGCAACACATATCTTGTGCATAAGGCATAAAATGCCTTACTTACATGGGTATCAAGCATTACCTGAATGGTAAATATCTTCCACCAGATTGAATAATGTAAAAATTAATAGACAAATACTTTTTTACACAACCAGGTAATTAAAATACAACTTAAATTCTTACCATTTGTACACACAGGGTGCTCTGATTGAGTGTGTGTTTGTTCTATGTATCGAACATGGAGATTCTCCTTTCTTCGTAGCCGGTTAATGCCAGAAAATGAAAAGGCTGTTATTGGTGAATCTGGAATAATATTCTCCTCACATTCAAGTTCAGCTGCTTGATGCTGTTGATCACTCCTAGAGGAAAATGACAATTGAAAGATGATATCAACAAATATTTGCTAAAACACTTACTACGTAATATGGAATTATAGTAGAACACAAGTAGAAAGATGTAAGAAATGCTATGCCTTGTATCTAATGTTCCAAGTACAAGCATTAGAAGTATGCAAATGATTATAGTACTAAGTGGGTAAAATTACTGTGACGATGCCAGATCCAAGAGGGTAAAGACGTCTACTGATGAATCACAAGTACCTACAATAGTAGGCACGCAGTAGGTGCTACATAAAGATTTGTTGAATGAATAAAATATGAGACATGTATAGAGTCCACTAAAGAAATAAATTTGTGCTGGTCTAGGCATATGTTCTTGCCTAGGACAATGGCATCTAAACACTGAGTTTGGAGTGAACTGTGGTTATTGAATAAATTGGATTACTTAATTTTCCCATGTCAAATCCTATGGACCATATTGGCCAACTAATGCTTTCCATTCTGCCAGCCATTTAGCTTTACATGATGAAACTAGTTTTAGTATACCCATAATAATTTGTAATACTATTTCAAATAACTACATAATGAGAATTTTATAAATTATAACTAGCAGAGATTTTTAAAAATCACTAGAAGATCTGGGCGTCAGTAGTTCATGCCTATAACCCTAGCTACTCGGAGACATCAGGAAACTCAAGGTTCAAAGCCAGTCTGGGAAAATAGTTCACAAGACCCTATCTTGAAAAAAACCCATCACAAAAAAAGGGCTGATGGAGTGGCTCAAGATGTAGCCCCTGAGTTCAAACCCCAGTACCACAGAAGAAAAAACAATCACTAGAAGAGAAAGATTAATATTTCCAACAAAGATTTATACTTTAATTTCCTGGACTGTATCAAAATTACTTGTGGTTTATAACCTTATCTTCTATACTAAGGCAGAATCTTCAGAGCCAATATCTAATTTTTAAATTTTTATTTTTAATTGACAAATGATTGCATATATTTATGGGGTATACTGCAAGTTTTGATACATGTTTATATTAAAGAATGTAAAGCTAATTTAAAAAATCCACCCTTTCACAAACCTACTTTATGTGATAAACATTTAAAATCTACCTCAACCGATTTTTAAATATATAATGCATTATTATTTGTTTTAGTCACCTTTCTGTACAATAAACTGAATATCTAATTTTTAATCTCTTCCTGCCATTCTATTCTTACTCTGGAAAAACAGAGTAAGCTAAAGTCATATGAGAAAGTCTTGCAAATTAATGGAGTGTAAAATCTATCTGACCTAGCTTTAACTAATCACATCACAGCCTACTTTGCTATGAGTAATAAAAACCCAACCTAAAGCATGACTGAGTCACGAAAAGAAACTGATTTCCTGGTGGAGTTAATCTAGAAGCAGCTGGGATTACAAAAGGGTGAAAAAATCCCCAAGCCAAAAGCCAAAACTAGCTCTAACTAGAAGTGCCCAAACTAAGTAAACAAGTGCTGGTTTTGTCTTCCTTTATTGTAAAGGAATACAACACAATTTCTATGTGTTAACCAAGTTTATTCTTTAAAACATTAGTTCTCACCTTGATTTTCTAGAAAAAGACTTCATGTCACATCTTTTGGGTAAATTACATACTTGTTTTACGACTTTTGTTTTTTCCTTCTGATGGCCTGAGAGTACATTTTGGAGAGTTGTTTTATCTATAGTCCTGTTAAGTTCCTGTCAGAATTGTTTTTTTTTTTTTTTTTTTCCCCTCAAAAATCTAAAAGGATCCAGGGTTTCTCTTCATAAGGAATGTATGAACAAGATTTTTTTTAAACATTCAGCTTTTCTCCTCTATACCCTGAAGAACTTATATTTCCAGTTAAAACATAACTAAAACAGTGAAGCAATATTATAGGCATCAAGCTCAAATTCAAATGTTCTGATTTTCAAAAAAAGAGAAGAGGAATCCTTCAAGTACAAATAGTGAGTCTGACACTCTGATTTGTTAGAACCAATGTAAATTTATCATATGAATTATTGAAATAAGACTAATTTTTAATAGTAGGGCTACTAACATGGTTGTTCTGAAGAATGCTTTATCATGGAGCTGGCTCTCAGGAAGGCCACCTGACAGTGATTCCCTTGATACCCTCTCACTATAAACAAAAAGAAATACTAAGTTGGTATCAATGAAGACAGACTCCTAACTCATGCAAAAATATCACTAATGAAAGAAATCTATACAGGTATATACCTCAGGGCAACATCTTATTAATGATCTTGATGCGAGCTCCTGATGGAAAGTGAACAAATTTGTGGAAGATACAAAGCTGAGAATAAAAGTTAATCTAATATATAGCAGTAGAAAAAAATCAGCATATGAAAGACCCACACATACATACTAAGTCTAGAATTATGGGATAAGTCTAATAAAGATGCAACAGAACACAAATAAATGCAGGGATAAGCCTTACTAAACTGTGTCAGAAGAGAATCTGTGCTTTGCCATTTATGGCATGACACTATGTAGGTAACCTTCTGAGGCTGTTTTAGCATAAGACTATAAAAGTGTATATAAAGTCTGGAATGAGGCAGACCTAGGTTCACTTAAACATCACATTGAGTAAGTTATTTAACTTTCTTGAGCCTCCGTTTCCTCATCTATAAAATAAATATGGTACTATGGTTTCCTATTTTCTTTTTGTAGGACAGCTGTAAAAAAGAAAATGTCCAGAAAATGAGTAGATATTTAATCAGTAGTACTATTACCTTAAAATGAAGGGGTAGGCTAAGTGATATAAGGTTCCTTCAATGAACTATTATGAAGCTATGATTTTGAAGTCCTGCAATTATATCTAAGGCAGCAAATGTACAAGTAGAGAGATGTATAGAGAAGATACTGACTTAAACGTTTTAGTTATATGAAAGTCTCAGAAGGGACCACCAGTAAAACATATATAGTTGAGCAATATTAATATAAGTAAAAAGACACAAAGAAGGGGAAATGCCAGTATTGATGTGTTGGTCAGACTATACCTAGCCCATTGGACTGGGGATGTAGCTCAAAACAGAGGACATGCCTAACATTCCAAGGCTCTGGCTTCAATCCCCAGCACTGCACACACACACAAATTAAAAAACTAAAAACCTGACAACTAAAAAGTTAAAGAAAAATGGCACTTTGAAGAATCTTAAACTAATGCCAGGCGAGGAACAGTTCGTGAATAGTGGATATTTACTTTTGAGAAGGTAAGAATCAGGAGGGCCAAGATAGTTGTGTTCAGGTATCAAAAGGGTAGTCAAGTAGAAGATGATCCCAGAAGGCAAAATCAGAAACTCCCTAAAAAAAATTTAGAGTAATACTATGCAAGGTTAGGAAAAACTTTCTAAAAATTTCATTTCACTAAAATTTTAATAGGCTTGGGAAACAGCAAATTTATACTAAAGGTGTTCAAACAACAGTTATTTGCTAAAAAAATTATATAAAGGATTCAATTTAGAGACAAGGGTTGAATGGCATGAAACCTACAGTCCTTTGAAATCTTATGTAGACTCCTTTGTTCTTCCCTGATCCATTACATCTACTTCCCATTACAAAGACAGTCATGACCACAATACCAAGCTTTATTATTTGGTTTGTATGAATGGCATGGGTTCTCTTTAATTTTTAACTTCACAACAGCAAATTTTTACTGAATAACGCAATAATGATCCTACTGTATAAGGCATCTATGACATCAAAACCAGTTCAGGTGAGTTAGAATTACTATACTTAACAGCAGAAGTATTAAATCAATATTTTCTAAAGTTCAGGGGGTGAATTTCAGGTATTAATAGCATGACATTATGGTGGTTTAGGTAGTCAGAGGAAATGAGGTTACTGGTTACTTGTTTTTTTTTTAACTGCCAACTAAAAGGAAATTTGTTTGAAGAGAGCTATTTACAAAAGAAGTTGGCTCAGGAGAATCACCACTTTCTTAAATTTCAAAGAAGAACCAAAACATACAATAGATTAACTCCTACAAAATGTTCTGACTAAGCATGCCCTAAATAAAAAAGAAACACATATGCCCTGAATTTAATCTACAAAATCAGTCATTATTATAGTTATTACATCTTAAAAAAATATCAATGAGCTTCAATAAGAAAAACTTGTATATTTGAGAACACTAAAAATAAATTCTAACTAGAATTTCTACCAACAAGTAACAATCCAATTTCAATATCGTTTACAGACCTTGTTTTTTGAAGTAGTTACTCATTTAGTTTGAGGCAATCATCTATTTAATCCTGTATTAACCTCTACACATTTAGTGTCTTTTCTACCTTTGTTATTCATAAATATCAAGACTGATGTGTTCAAAACATAACCTAAGTTAATACAGGTCTCTTATCTGAACTCCTTAGAACCAGATAGGATTCAGAATTCAGATTTTTTAAAATGAAAATATAGAATACATATAGGTTAATATATATGCATACACACACACACACACACACATATGCAGTCCAAACATCATCTTGTAATAAAAAATATTGATATTTTCATGGCAAAATATAAATATATAAAGAAAGACAGAGAGTACAGTGTTCTGGCAGCTGAGATGAATGCAGACTGTGAATAACATTTCAAAACAAATCTTTTGGGTTTTGTAATCCTATCTAAATGACTACAGATTTGTACTTTAGCATCTTTTCATCACAGAACATGAGTGTCGACATTTTCACATAGACATTTTATAGACATAGTCTGATCCCATTAACGACCTTTCCTCATCTGGTAATTACTCCTCCTCAAAATTTCCTTTGACTATTAGCATTCAGTGGATGGATCCCATGAGAGAAAGATTCGAATTCTATAGGACACTCGTTATCTAAAAGTATACTGTTAAGGTATTAATTACATCTGTAAGATATGTACGTTTTTTTCCTCTTCTTTATGCCAGGGAAACTGGCATACAGGATAAAAGTTACTGTTTTTATTCTTCAAAAGAAATGGGGAAGAGGAGATAAGAACAGAGGAAGGAAGAACTTCTATAGGCCTAACAATTCTGTTAGAAGAAATCCTTATTCATTTGCTTTATGAAACTTCTGGAAAGGGCTGGGATAGAAGTAAAAAACTCAAATATTTATTTGAAGTAATAAGTACTTTAACAATTTCTCTATTGTTTATAAGTCATTAAAAACTACAATGCCTTAACCAAAATGTTTTTATATTCTCTGTAGATTCTCATATTAACCTCAGATGTATGAACACTTCACATATACCTCCAAAACAAAAATACAGTGACTTTCTTCATATTTCTTTTTATAGAGCACCTTCAGAATTTTTTACAATGAAATCTGCAACACTTAGATATTTTCAGCTTGTATAGCTAAGTAAAATGAAAGTTGGAGGAAAATATTTTCTGCTGCAATTTAGAAAAAATACTTACTCAATTTTCTGCTGCAATTGTTCAGAAAGCTTTTTATTTTCTTCCTGAAGAATATTCTTTTCATTCACTTGAAAAGCAATGTGAAAGAGAAGGCATAAGATGTAGTTAGCTAATATTCATGTCAGGCTTTTTAAGTAAAATGTCAAAATTTTGGAAGAAACTAAGATTTCTAATCTTAAATCATAACGTTATTCAGAGCTAACGTTATTGTGCAAAACTAGTTTGACACATGAAAAAATGCTCACCATCTCTAGCAATAAAGGAAATGCAAATTAAAACCACGCTAAGATTCCACCTCACCCCTGTTAGAATAGCCATCATCAGCAACACCACCAACAACAGGTGTTGGCGAGGATGCGGGGGGAAAAAGGAACCCTCTTACACTGTTGGTGGGAATGTAGACCAGTACAACCACTCTGGAAAAAAATTTGGAGGCTACTTAAAAAGCTAGACATCGATCTACCATTTGATCCAGTAATACCACTCTTGGGGATATACCCAAAAGACTGTTACTCCAGAGGCACCTGCACACCCATGTTTATTGCGGCACTATTCACAATAGCCAAGTTATGGAAACAGCCAAGATGCCCCAGCACTGACAAATGGATTAAGAAAATGTGGTACCTATACACAATGGAATACTATGCAGCCATGAAGAAGAACGAAATGTTATCATTCGCTGGTAAATGGATGGAATCAGAGAACATCATTCTGAGTGAGGTTAGCCTGGCCCAAAAGACCAAAAATCGTATGTTCTCCCTCATATGTGGACATTAGATCAAGGGCAAACACAACAAGGGGATTGGACTATGAGCACATGATAAAAGCGAGAGCACACAAGGGAGGGATGAGGATAGGTAAGACACCTAAAAAACTAGCTAGCATTTGTTGCCCTTAACGCAGAGAAACTAAAGCAGATACCTTAAGAGCAACTGAGGCCAATAGGAAAAGGGGAACAGGTACTAGAGAAAAGGTTAGTTCAAGAAGAATTAACCTAGAAGGTAACACCCACGCACAGGAAATCAATGTGAGTCAATGCCCTGTATAGCTATCCTTATCTCAACCAGCAAAAACCCTTGTTCCTTCCTATTATTGCTTATACTCTCTCTACAACAAAATTAGAAATAAGGGCAAAATAGTTTCTGCTGGGTATTGGGGGGGGAGAGGGAGGGGGCGGACTGGGTGGTAAGGGAGGGAGTGGGGGCAGGGGGTAGATAAAAAGGAAAAAAAAAACTAGTTTGTTACTTAATAGTGATTACTTTGTTTCATATTGTGCCAGTTTTATATGCAATTATTGACTGATAATTTTAGGTAATGCTTATGAGTAAAAGAGAGCACTTCATGTATTAGGGAATATAATCTATTCACACTGAGGACAAGAAAGAACTCCATTTCTTTTATTTTGTATCTTAAAATAAAATCAATCATAAAAACATAATGTCTAGTGTGCTTGAGACCCTGGGTTTGCTCCCCAACACTGCAGATAGTGATAATAATAATAAAACTGATTACCAGTATTTCTTAATAAGCACATTTATAAACTTTGTTTCTTAAGTCATTCTGTCTCTAAATAAAATTTGGAAAAGAAGTCTATGGCAGTACTGAAAAGCCAGAAAGTGTGCCACTAGCACTATGAAAAATCCCCAGTTTTAAAGTAGATTCAGATTGATGATAAAATCCAACAAAAAGGCACCTTAATGAAAGTGAGTTTTAGGCTGGGTGTGGTGATGTACACTTCTAATTCCAGCACTCTGCCCCTCCCCAAACTAAAAGAGACAGCAAAGCCAACAAAGCTTAGAAATTGCTAATTGGTTCCTTCTGTGGAGGGTGGCAAATAGTTGCTCTTCAACTAAACTCATGAGGACAAATCTAAGTTCTGACACAGGAGACAAGGAAATCAGAGCAGTGCTCCAAGTAACTTATGGTAAAGACATAGAAGGCACTCTCACTCTCAGAAGACCAACTATTTGTATTCCCTATAGAAAGTTCTCTAGCTAGGTGTCTCCCTCCCCCTCCTACTTTCAGCCATTGGAGTAGGAGTTCTATAACTCAGATTTTAAAAAACAAATGAAAAACTATCAGGAAAGTAGGGATTTTCTCTTGGGTTAAGAAAATAAGACTACATTTATCAAAGCCAATGTATGAGTATGAGATATCTACAATTAGAGACAACAGACTATTAACAATTAAAATACTTTAAAAAATTCAAAACTAGTTAAAAAGAAAAATTCACTTTTTTTTTTTTTTTTTTTTTTTTGAGACAGAGTCTTGCTATATAGCCCAGACTGGCCTCAAACTCACAATCCTCCTGCTTTTGCCTCCTGAGTGCTGGAATTACAGGCATGAGAATCACTATATATGGCTAAGAATTCACTTCTGTGTATAGATTTTAAATATAGGAAAAATGTCTTTTAGTAAATACAACTGACATTAGAAATATTTTGAAGGCTGAAGGATCTGTTAAAAAAAGGCTATCATGAAAAAGAAACAAATTTAAAACAATAAATGGAATAAAAGCTGAATAAATGTGACCAAAGATAAAATTACTATCTCCTAAGTGATTTTCTAAAAGGATAAATTTACAGAATAAAAGTTAAGCAACATAAAGAACCTAACATCTGTCCAATGTGAGTTCCAGAAGAAGAAAAAGAGAATATAAAGGGGCAAATACTATACGAAATAACAGAAAGAAGTCTCCTTGGGCTGAGCAAAGAAGGGAATAGAGTAGATGTCACTTTGTCTTACTATAAAAGTAAATCCCACATAAAAACATAATTCCTACCAAACTACTGAGCTCACAGGGAGAAAAATCCAAAGGACTTCCACGTCAACACAACCATCAAGAACAAAGCAAAACTGTAAGCCAAAACCTGAACAGTATAAGCAGATGTTAGATGAGGGGAATGACCTTGAGATCTCCATTTTGAGCCTGAATCCCTCGAATGGGAACAAAGTGATCCTAATTCATTAACTACTAGAACTCATAGAAAACAACCCATATATAAACTCCCAAGTTATTTTATACAGCTATGAAATATTCAAAGATTTAAAAGATGGAATCCCCAAAATTAGTATAATAGAAGTGATTGCAAGAAGTTAGCAGGCAATTGAGATATGTGAACATTAAAAATAGAAATGAAAAATAGTTATGAATATAATTAGTGCACTTGAATATATAAAATCCCATGTCTCTATAACACACACATACACAAAGAAATTTATACTCCCACCAAAAACAAAATGAGAAGAAATACACAACCTTATTTGTTACTATGGTAGGTGACTATTACACCAAGACTTCTCTCTGAAAACTGGCAATGAGAGGAAAAAGAACTATGATTTATCAGGTCTTCTAACAGGAATTATATTCCAAGGTAACCAACAGTCCCAACCAATGAGGGAGAATTCTTGTTTACATAAGAATGCCAGCTGATAAACATAGAAAAAATAACATAATTGGAAAATTATCATTTCACAATCTCTATTTAGTAACTGAACCAGGCAAAGATCACCGGTGGATGCTAAAACCATTGAAGAAAAACTGAGGGAGAATTGTGTATTTTCAAGGTTTCACAGAATCACACATCCATGCCCCCACTTGGATTACTCGGTAATAAGGGGGAAAACAAAATTATATAATAAAGAGATATGGCCACCGTTTTAACTCAGTGATCACTCTCCATAAAAGGAGAATAACCAACAATATTGGACTGCTGGGATGATGTAATGAAGCAGATATTATATGCAAAATATAATGTTTAATCTGGATCTGATCAAGCTGTTAGATTTAGCTTCCAGGAAATAAAGGAGAAAGATAAAAGAAAATGAGAAAAAAATCCAGTAGAAAAATAGTCCTACTTCTTCAACGTCAATGTCATAAAAGAAAAACTAGGGAAGACAACTATTCCAGATTAAAAGGAGACAAAGAATTCAAGTGCAATGTACGATTGGCAAGTTTGAACAAAAATGCTGGGAAAGACCTTCAAAGGGATAATTGTAAATATGAATATGGAGCATTACAGAATATTAGCAAATTATAGGCAATCTTTGCTAAATATGGTAATAATATTATGGCTATGTAGAAATTACCCATGTATTTAGGGGATAAATGATAGGATATACAGAATTTACAGTGAAATATTTCAGTATGAAAAAAATGAGTATAAGCAACTGTTAAATCTATTGGGTAGCTGTATGGGAATTCTTTACTATGCTCCTGACTTTGCATAGTTTTAATTTTTTTTGTTTGAAAAAGAACTAAATAAAGTCAGGTGTGGCAGTCCACACCTGTAATCATGGCTACTCAGGATGGAGAGACAGGAGGATGGAGGTTTGAAGCCAGCCCAGGCAAAGTAAGTTCAACAACCTATCTGAAAAACAAACTAAAAAAAGCAAAAGGACTGATGGTGTGGCTCAAGTGGTACAAATGGTAAAATGCCTGCCTAGCAATGTCTAAGTCCTGGGTTCAATCCACAGTACCAAAAAAAGAAAAAGAACTGAACAGAGTTTTTACAAATGATAAATTTGGTTATTGGGATCAGAATAGAAACTATTAAAAAGGTAAATTTATATACTAAACAAAATTACCCAGAATGCAGCAGAAAAAAAAATAAGGGGATTAACAAAATAGGGAATAGAATGATAAGGTTTTATTTGAACCCCCAAAAAGACAAAATAGAGAGGAAATAACATTTGAAGAGCTGGCAGCTAGTGACAATTTTCCAGATATGACTAACAATGGGATTCCACAGATTACAAAATGTATACTCAGTGAAATTGTATCCAAATTATAGAATAACAAAACCTAAGAAAAAATCTTAATAGTGGCCAAAGAATAAGAATTGTTACTCAAAAAAATAACCTTGTAAGAATAAAGGTAAAATAAAAACCAAAACATTTTCAGGTAAAAACAGCATTTGGAACCAACTAATATCTTCTAGAAGAACTTCTAACGGATGTATTTCAGAAAGGTTAATAATCACAGAAGGAAAGTGAGGTGCAAAAAAGGAGTAACAAGCAAAGAAAGTGATAAACATATTGGTAAGTTTTTTAAAACATTTTTGGGACGGGGTTATAGCTCAGTTTTGGTAGAACACCTGCCTAGTAGGCAAGGCTCAGGGTTTGACCTCTAGTACCACAAAAAAAGAAAATTAAATAAATAAGTAAAATGACAAATTGGATAAGAGTAATTTGAAAGATAAGTAACTTGTAGGTCTTAAAAAAATACAAAAATGAAATACTGAGAGCTGCAGGTATGGCTCAAGTGGAAGAGCGCCTGCCACTAAGTGAAAGGCCCTAAATTCTAACCCCAATTCTGCCAAAAAAAAGAATGAACAAAAACAATATAAATAAGGAAGACGGTACTCAGAGTTAAAGTGCTTTAAAGTCTTTGTATCATTCAGAAGAGAGTTAAAATACTAACTTTTAAAAATGGGTGGCAAATGCTAGGCATTGTGGCATATGCCAGCACTCGAAAGGCCAAGACAGGAAGATTGAATATTCAAGGCCAGTCTGGGGATACACAGTGAGACTGTCTCAAAAAAAAAAAAAGAAAAAGATAAATTAAGTAAATACACAAATATACAAATAAAAATGCATGAAATTTAAGACTGACCAAAAAGAATAAAACTAAAAAGTTTTTTTTTTTTTTTTTTTTAATTTGGAGATACAAATGTTTGAACTTAGGACTTTAGGCATGCTGGGCAGGTGTTCTACCACTTCAGCCATGCCCCCAGCCCTTTTTGCCCTGGTTTGCTTTTTGCCCAGGCCAGCCTAGACCATAATCTTCCTATTGTGTGTTTCCCACAGTAGCTGGAATGTTAGGTTGCACCTCCATACCCAGCTTTTTCTGTTGAAATGGAGTTTCATGAACTTTTTTGCCAGGACTGGCCTAAAACTGTAATCCTCCCAATTTCAGCCTCCTGGGTAGCTAGGACAACAGGCACACACTATTGTGCCAGTTATTGATTGGATGGGAATCTGGTGAACTTTTTGCCAGGGGTGGCTTCAAACCACGACCCTCCTGATCTCTGCCTCCTGAGTAGCTAGGATTATAGGAGTGAGCTACCAGCACCTGGTTTTAAAATAAAAGGTTGTTTTTTTTTCTTCAGTATTGGGGCTTGAACTCAGGGCCTACACCTTAAGGCACTCCACCAACCCTTTTTTGTGAAGGGTTTTTTTGAGATAGGGTCTTGAGGAACTATTTGCCTAGGTTGGCTTTGAACTGCAATTCTCCTGATCTCTGCCTCCTGAGTAGCTAGGATTCAGGCGCAAGCCATTAGTGCCTGGCAAAGGAGTAAAGTAAGAACTAAAATACCCTTAAGATTTTGTAAGGGGAAAAGTAAAAACAACACAAACAGAAAAGACCGGATAGAAAGAAAATACCATATTAAAAAATGAGGAATTCTGGGAAGATGATGTCAGTGGTGGCCATTTTTCTTTTTTCTTTCTTTTTTTTTTTTTTTGGTGGGACTGAGGGTTGAACTCACGGCCTATCACTGAGCCATTCCACCAGCCAATGACAGTTTATAAATCTCTCCAAATTTTCCCATAAAGAAAAATGGAGCAACTAGACAGACACATCAAAAGTTCATAAAAAATGAAGTTCTAGTGGGTTTATTTTTGTAACTTTGGGATCTGATCTCAAAGTGAAATTAGTTTTCCTGATCTTTTCAGCAGTTACATTGGTGGTTATTATTAGAGGTGTTGTGCTTGAGAATATTGTGCCTTTAACGTGGGTCAAAACAAAATAAGTAGTAAAGGGATATTTTAATTGCATTATTCCTGTTTCCTTGTGATCTAAGACTTTCAGCATGAAAGAAAGGACATAGAGATGTTGGTAGAAATATTGTAAAGCTCTCTATTTCTGAATTTTTCTTTTTGGTAGGACTGGGGTTTGAACACAGGGCTTCATGCTTGCAAAGCAGGAGCTCCACTGCTTGAGCCACACCTCCAGTCCTGAATTTTTAATAAAAGCTCATAAGGTATTTTTTGTTGGTCTTTTTTTTTTTTAAACCTTTTCAGTCATTAATTATTTTCATCTTTCTGTTTATATATTTCCTAGTTGTCTACTGAAATGAAAAGTACTAAATGTGACATGTCTGATCAAGGTAAAAAAAAAAAATCCAAAAAAAAAAAAAAAAGATGGTAAATTTACACTTTACATTTCATGTTAAAAATTCTAGATAGATGCTGGTGGAGTGGCTCAAGTGGTAGAGTGCCTGCCTAGCAAGTGTGAGTCCTTGTGTTCAAACCCCAGTGCTCCCCCCCAAATTCTAGATAGATTAAACATGTAAGTTTTTAAAAATGTACTTGTACATATAATATAAAAATTGGAGAATTTTTTTATTCTTGGACTAGAGAAAGCCTTTCTAAATACACAAGACTTCTATATGTCAACACAAATTATAAAATAAGAGCTATTAATTAAAAAATACAATGGGTAAGTGGGACAACTTAAAGATACTTGAACTGAATAGTACTAGAGAATGGTAATTAAAAAAATTTTTTTAAAGGATATTATTTTACCAGATGAAATATTATTATTTTATTGCAGTATTGGGGTCTGAACTCAGGGCCACATGCTTGCAAGTCAGGTGCTCTACCACTTTAGCCACTTCACCAGTCCTCTAGATGAAGTATTATTAATTCATTTCTGCCCAAATTTGAGGAGGATCCAGGAAAATACAAATTCTCAACAAAAATCTTAGCTATTCCTTAAGAAACCCAGACAAACCTTTTTGCTTATTTGGAGTTTTTTGCTATTCTCAGTTAAAGTTGTTGGAAATCTATTAGATATGTAGACATCACTGAAGATTATACAATTTTGATAATCTCAAATTTATAATACAATTTTGGATCTCAACTATATTTACTAAGATGTAATACTTTTCTACTTATTGGTAATATTCTTATATTCCTAAATAAACACATATACACCACAGAATCTCGAACTCTAAATGCATTAACATGTAAAGACTCCTAAGACATAGTCTAAAGTGAAATAACTCATCAATACAAAAAGTACAGTATGATTCTATCAAAATTCAAGAGAAGAGAGAGCTGAGCATAGTGGTACATGCCTGTAACACTTGGGAGATAGAGACAGAAAGATCTCAAGTTTGAGGCCAGCCTGGGCAAACTTAGTGAGAGCCTATGTCAAATCAAAAGAAAACACAAAATAGCTTTGGGTGTAGTTCAATTAGTAGAGCACTTGCCAAGCAACTGTGAGTCCCTGTTCAATCCCCAGTAGAACAAGCAAAGAGAAAGAAAAAGTGAGAGAGAAGGGTAGTAAAATGAGGCACAGAAAATAAACTTGGATCTGGATGGATACAAATGAGTCTGCTAACAGTAATTACCTTTAGTCATAGAATAAAACTATATGTTCTTATTTCTTTTTAAAATAATGAGCATGCATATATATATATTTTTGCTTGTGTAACCAGAGAACAGCAACCTAATTAAGAGGAATAAAAAGTTGGAAGATGGAATTAGTTTGGAAAAGAAGATAATTAATTAGATTTTGGATATGTTGATTGTGAATTGCTTATGGAAAATCCAGATAATGTTCACTACAATTTACAATTGCTTAAAGAGAAGAAAGTTGAAAGAGAAAGCTAGAAGAGAAAAAGGAGAAGACGAGAAGGCTAAGACTATAAGAAAACTCTACACTGAATGGGTAAGAGAAATTAGAAGTAGTACACTCATAATAGTATCATGAAACCAAAAAGGCATTTACCTTTGTAGAACACTAAACTATTTTCTTTGAATTTAACTTTACTATGAAGTCAATTACATGAAATACATATAAACCAAAGAAGAAAATATAGTCATGTCCAGACTATGTCCAGACCAGTCATGTCTAAGGCTTCTTGACTTAGAACTGTTAAGGCTAACGTGAACAGTATTATACATCTTTTTGTACCCTTTTTCTTACTAAACAAAGCATGGGTATGAAATCTACAAAAGGGAGAAAAAGATATGAAGTTTCACCTAAATAAGAAAAGATATATGTACACAATTTATGTGATTACAACCAACTTACTAATAGGTTTTAACAATAGTACACTGTTGTTCTAAGAACTTAGTAAAAGAAGAAAGGAAACTTACTAAGTTCTGTAATAAGTTTCAGATTCTGCTGTCGGATATTTTCAAACTCTTGCTGCTTTTTTCGCATATGTTCTTCAGTTACTGCACAGCGATCACATAATCCTGCTCTTAACCTATGAAACAAAAACAAATTATTTTTCATCTACTAAAAGCTATTGCTTTAAACAGGCTGAATATTTCTTATATGAAACGCTTGGGATTTCAGAGGGTGTTTCAGATTTTAAGAGTTTCTTGGCTTTCAGACTACTTGCAAAGACTTACTGGTTGCAGACCCTTAATCTGAAAATCAAAATTTGAAAAATTCCCAAATTTGAAAATTTTTGGAATGCTGATAGGACACTGAAGAAAGTTTGGGTTTCAGAGCATTTTGAATTTTGGATCTTTGAATTAGGAGTGATCAACCCGTATATTTTCCATTTAAGAGTTTTAGACTTTATGAAGGTAATTGACTTGGCAAATATAGTGAAAACCAACTAGTTATTTAATATTCGACCTTTAACATATTCTTACATATGCCAAAATCATTGCCACAGCACCATTTTCTACAGAATACAATTCTGAATGAAATTTTGTAAAACTCTACCAATTTTAAATGCTATCCAAGAAGTTTTTTTTGAGTCAGGGTCTTGCTATGTTACCCAGCCTGGCCTTAAACTCATGAGCCTCCTGCCCTCCTGCCTCATCTTCCTGAGTGATGGGATCTTTTTCACTGAAGAAACTTTATTTATTCCAATGAAAATATGAGCCAAGTCCAGCACTTAAGGGGTCAAATTCATGATAAGCAACTATGCATCAACATATGACACACAGTGTTGGAACAATTTTTTGTTGTTGTTGAACAAATATTAAAGGTGAAGGAATACCAAGAAGGTCACCTCGCATTTTCTTTAAAGCATTCAAAAAAATCATTGTTATTAAATATTTACAATACACTACTATTAAAAAAAGTTATGAAGTAGCTTTTACTAGTTGTGAGTGTTGAAAAGAAGGAAATACATTTAAAACATATATTCTAGAAAGCAGAGTTAAGGAATCTTCTCTAGGAAATCTGAATTGCATGACATAGTGATAAGATAAAAAATGAATAGTGATGTAAACAAAATTATTAAAAACTGTATTAAGAGGAATAGAAATGGTGCCTATAGATGGTTTAGGAAAAAAAATACATACCTAGGCCAAGAAAAAGTTTTAAATAGCAATAAAATCACTTTTAAAAAGAGATTTTGAGGTAAATAGCAAAATAGTATGTAGAGTTGAATGTGACTGCTTCGGAAGAAGGGAAAACTGAAGAGGAAGAGCACATGTGGTTTACTCTTTTATCCTAACATTGAAAAAGCTATTTAAAAGACAACTGGGGCACTTGGCAGCTGTCCTTCCATGTTTGAAAAGTCAATCATGTTAAAGAGTTTTACTATCTAAGGGGCAAAAAAAAACAGGGGCAAAAAAAACAAGACAAAAACTGGGGGGAGGGCAGAAATTGGACAGATCTGCACCTAGTGAAAGAAAACTTCCAATTATTTAAGTAGGGAATATGCTACCTAAGCAGGTAGTGATTTCAGTTTTCACTGGACATGTTTAAGTGTAGGAAAGATGATTATCCAAAAATCAGGAATAATTACAGCAATGGTCACAAACCTATTTCTTAAAACCATCTGAGCAGCTTTAAAAGGAAGGGAAGGAGGAGCAAGATTCACAAATCCCACCAACGACTAAGACAGAATCTGTAGGGATGGAGCCTAGGATTCTGCTCAAAAGCTCCTTTCCACAGATGCTTCAAAGCTTTAGAACAAGGCAGACCCAGTGCCTTCCTATGTTCTTTCCATGTCTTATTCTTAAGAGTTTTGCCAATAATAAAAATCTATTAAGATAGAATACATACCACTTCTCTATCATTTATTTTATGATGTCTTTAAATACTATAGAAAATTCCTAAGTACTGAAAACATTTACACTTGCCCAGCCAATCACAATGGAGTCTACATAGACTTGTAATAAAATTTCCTCATCAGCATTTATAACATGTTTTAATTCTCCCGCCACTTATCTGCACAGCCCAGCCCAGCCTCCAGCTCTGCCCTACCCACATCTGGCTTTTAATTCTGACTTAAACTCAGAACTAAGAGAAGAGTTAATTAACATAAGGTTAACAAGCATCTGATACTATTGTTTTTCCCCTACGTACACATTCAAGTTTTGTCATTCATTTTTCCTTATTTAATGATTCACATACATAAAGCTTTTCACTAGCTAAACCAGAAGTATATAAAACTTGATTAAAAACAAACAAAAAATTGTAAGTTCTGTTGGAACTGCTCCTATTTATGAGGAATTTTCATGATTTTGGAAAATGTCATTGGTGACAACAGTCCATGTTATTTTAACCATCAATGAGCACACTGGTGTCAGTCAATTTATGATTATTTATATAATTTAGTATTTATATTATTTATTATTTTTTAAAATAATTTAGTATCTCAACAATTCATCTTTTATTTTTTTTTTTTTGAGACAGGGTTTTGCTATGTAGCCTAGGCTAATTTTGAACTCTCAATCTTCTTGCCTCAGCCTCCTGAGTGCTGGGATTATAGGTGTGTACCACTACACACAGTACATTCATCATTTAGAATAGACATACTCATATATTTATATCCTGAAATATGTATCACTTTAATTATACTTATAGCACTTTACCCAAAATTTGGGTATTTAAGTAGATTATAGATCAGATTATATATTAATTTCATTTCAAAAATTGTAAAAAGGATAAAATACTTTCAAAAAGGGAAGACTGTAATTTAAGGATTAAGAATAATTAGTTTGCGAGTCAACTCCCTGTATAGCTATCCTTATCTCAACTTGCAAAAACCCTTGGTCCTTCCTAGTATTGCTTATACTCTCTCTACAACAAAATTAGAGATAAGGGCAAAATAGTTTCTGTTGGGTAGCGAGGGGGTCGGGGGGAGAGGGAGGGAGTGGGGGGGGGTAAGGGAGGAGAAATGACCCAAACATTGTATGCACATGATTAAAAAAAAATCAATTCAAGATAAACAAAAGTAAAAATTAAAAAAAAAAGAATAATTAGTTTGAAAACAGAACAATGGAAACTGGGCGTGGTGGCACATGCCTATAATCCTTGCACTGGGGAGGCTGAGGCAGGAAGAACATGAGTGCTAGGTCAACCTGGGTTACATAGGAGACCCTGACATAAAACACTAAAAACATCAATAACAATAAAAACAACTATACTCCACTCCTAGGGTCATCCGTTGGTGGTAGGGAGAACTGATATAGTTTTACTTTGAAAGGTAGCATATTAAATCTCAAGATTTATATGTGATATGAGGGGCTTGGGAGCTTTGTTTTGTTTTTTTATTTTGCAGCACTGGAGATCAGACCCAGGGCCTCACATGAGTAAAGCACACATTCTACCACTAAGCTACACCCCCAACCTACAATATGAGTTATTTTTTTAAGTTCCTCAGGAAATCCTGAAGGTTACACATGTGCAGGAACCAATAAATTAAATGAGTCTTTAAATAAATGATGTTGGAGAACCAAAAGAAGTTAGAAATGGGAATAATTTGGGAAAGAAATGGTCATGGAGCCTAATTTTATACCATATACAAAATTCAGCTCAAAATGGATCAAACCTAAATATAAAAAGTGATACTTTTTAGAAGAATACACATGTCACATGCACCCCTAACACAACAATAATATAATAAAAAACGTTAAAAAAATGTAATGGAAAAGTTTTATGATATTGTGGCAGTGGTTTCTTGGGTATGATACCAAAGCATAGGTAACAAAATAAAAAGTAATTGGGACTTCACTAAAATGAAGAACTTTTGTGTATCAAAGGACGCCATCAGCTGGGCTTGGTAGTGCATGACTGTAATTCCAATTATTTAGGAGGTGGAGGCAGGAAGATCACCAGTTCAAGGCCAGCCCAGAAAAGGTAATGAGAATCCTGTCTCAAAAAAAAAAGGAAGGGCTGGTGGAGAGGCTCAAGTGATAGAGTGGCTGCCTACCAAGCTTGAGGCCCCAAGTTCAAACCCCAGTAGCGCCAATAAAATAAAATAAAATAAAATGGAAAACAGCTGGTGGAAACATTTACTGGAGCACAGCTCCAGTGGAAGCATTTACCTAGCATGCATGAGGCCCTGAGTTTGATTCTAAGTACCACAAAAAAAAAATATGAAAGGACGTTCAACCTCACTAATCTTTAGTGAAAAGCAAATCAGAGCTACAGTAAGAGAAATTTTTTTATACTCATCATGATGAATTTTTTTTTAAAGCAATGTTGGCAAAGATATAGAGAAACTGGAACCTTGTGCATTGCTAGTGGGAATACAAAGTGGTTGGCCACTATGCAAGTGGTACTGTAGGTTCCTCAAAAAGCTAAACATGAAACTGCCACATGAGCTAGCATTTACATGTCTACATATGTACTAACAGGACTAAAGACAGAGACTTGACAACAGAAAATTATATACCAATGTTCACTGAAGCATCATTCTTAACAGCCAAGAAATAGAAACAATCCAAATGTCTACCAACAAGTAACTAAATGAATGTGGTACATACATCAGAATATCATTCCGCTATTAAATGGGCCAGATGCGGCAGCTCACACATGCAATCCTAGCTACCTGGGAAGTGAAGTTGAGAGGATTGTGGTTGGAGGCCAGTCCAGGAAAAGTTGCTTGAGACTTTTTCTTAGAAAACAAGTGGGGCATGGCAGTACGTGAAAAATAAACCAAAGCACAAAGGGCTAGGGGCGCGGCTCAAGCAGTAGAGCACTTGCAAGTGCGAGACCCTAAGTTTGAACACCAGTACCACCACCACGAATAAAAAAGGACTGGAAGCTCAAGTGGTAGAGTGCCTGCTTTGCAAGTGCAGGTCAAAAAAACCCCCAAAGAACCTGAAGGAGGGAAAAGCTGTCTAGCATCCCTGGAAAAATCTAAGAAATGATGAGGTCACAAAATAAGAAAAGGGTACACACATACACACACACACACAGAGTAATAATCAACAAACAATGAAAAGTTCTAAGGTATTAAATGTGATTATCAAAATAACTTCAATGGTAAATTTGGAGAATAAAATAGCA